AAAAACACTGAGCACATTTACTAATGAAAATTTGTTTCCGGATATATGGATGCATCAATTTGATTATCAAAACACCAATCATCTCATAGATTTGACAAAAAGTATTATGGAAAAGTACATTAATGTGCGATTGACCTATTTGATGAAAAAAAGAGATCCCAGCAAAGTAATTAGACGAATTTATACTAAACTTATACATTTCAAAGGCCAATGAGTGGTTTTGCTGTTTTGCCATAATTGCTGCCGAATCAACTTCATAAACTTTAAAGATTTAATAAAAGTTTTGCAAAAATTGCATTTACGGAAGTTGTATACTTTTTTCGACAGTTCAAAATTACGGTCTATATAGTAAAAAAAAATACTGCATACATATATGGAACTGTGCGTATTCTTTGAGGTTTTATTATTTCAATCTCCTTGGTAGTGTTTTTAATATATACTTTGTCTTACTTTAATACTAAAAAGAAAAAGAGACGAAAGATGTAGTTTTAATTTTCACCACCCACACATGACACCATTTAGAAATGCACGTCACTTTCGTATAAGAAAAAGTTTGCTTCATTACATAGATTATGTAGGTATACTATTTCTCGCAAATGTGTTGAAAAACGTTGTATGTTATTCGTTCGGAATGGTATTTACAAATTCGTGACTATGTTAGCCCGAAACGAATTATCTACTTATAATAACCAACTTACGCGAATATCTTTAATATCGATCAACCAACTACTTAAATAAAAATAGGACCGGAGATCTGTGGGGTAATTTCCGTTAATGTTTCTAAATCGGTAATTGAGATACTATTGTATTGGGTCCTACTCTAGTTTGCATATTTAATGAATTTGCTCATTGTTTCATGACCTCTTGAAATAAAATAATATAACTCCATTGCGCACTTCTACGTGTGTATAGTGACTTGTCTCAGAGTTTTGATTCCGATTTTTACGAAACATAACTTAAGAAATGATTTAGGATCAATCAAAGGACCAATCCGGATCTTATAACACCATACTTGAGCGATAGGGTTTAGGGAGTTGACAACATTGGCAATAAGTTCAGGTTTTTTTGGCTCATTTTTGAGACGCGTATCCATGTAGGGTCTCTTTTTGATATCTTTCCATTTTGATTTAATCTAAGGCGAATTGTTATAATTTTTTGTACTTATACAAAAATGTATTTGAATAAAAAAATAAAATCTTCGTAAAAATGTCTTTTACTAATATTTTTTACTGTCATAAGTCCCAGAAAATAATAATTAAGGCGCCTTCATCTACGGGTCGGTGCGAGTTTGTTTTGTTTTCGATTCTGTACCGAATCTGAACAGATTTTTCCGAGTGCATTTAATTAAATGAGAGCTTTCTCACTAAGTGGTTCCTGTACAGAATCTTTACCGAGCGGATACTTAGCTTGCTGTGCTGAGTGCTTCCGAATGCTACCGAATCATTCGACTCGCCCATCCTGTCACTCCCGCAAACAAAACGAACCTGTACCGAGCCGATGAGTAAGGCGCCTTAAGTTTTAAAAGTTGTCATAAACAGCATATTATTGTCTATCTAGATATTTTTTTACGTGTTTTTTGTGTTGCTTATATTTTATTTAGTATGTAGTTACTAGTCGCGTCATGTAATTAGAAAGTGGAGAGAGTATGTTTGCGCATAGCTACACTAGCGCACCAAAGTACTAGGCCTCTGTACAATGGAGATCCGGCACTTTTCATAGAAAAAATCCTAAACTTGTATACAGTTGAAATTGCTCTCAAAATGAAGCCAAAATTATTTGCTACATAAAACTAATTTTGCCTTATTTTTAGTGAATCGTGGAAAGAAGTTATATAATGATTAATATTTTTTGATATGGAAACCCTAAATCTTCAAGGGACAGAATTTTACTTGAAAATATTACTCAAGTGACTGTAAAAACCATGATTCCTTTGCTTTTTCTAAATAAAAAACCAAATGTCAATTTGACAATCCTAAAATACAAACAAAAAAATCATTCGCTCCCGCGTACTGTGATTGTGAATGTTATCTGCTGTGATTGCCTTTTTATCCGTTATTTCTCTTGACGACCCGGCTACATCAAACATAAATTATTGTATTTTGTGTGTGTTTATGCATCGGTATAGTTACTTGTTTGTTGATGTTTGACACATACAGGATCCAAATTAATGATATTTTTAGTGGAAAGCTCAATGAACATAATGAATAAGTACGTTAAAAGATATACTGATCCGGAGAATAGAATTTACAGTAAGAAACCGCTGATGAGATTTGTTTAATCTTGTTAACAAATGGTGTCAGTAGCGGCAACTTATTGACCGATTTGGGTGAAAAGTACTTGTTGATTTTTCATTGAGATTTACTAACACATGAAGAGTCACATGTTTAATGATAATGAGGGAATGAATTAATGTGTTCATCTAAATGAATAAAATAAAGTTTAAGATGAACAAATCTAACATAAATAAGTTTGAACTCATTGAGATAACATGTGAATCAAAGTTATGATCGACATTATTTTATACAAATTACTAACTTAAAGTAACAACAAGACACAAAGAGTGTCCTTTTGTATCTTTTTACTTAATAAAAACAAAATGCATTCTTGTTGTGATTATTTATCTCCTAAATAAATAAAATAAACTAAACTACCTCATAGTGTGATATTTTGGGACTGATTCTGGCGTTACATTCTCTAAATCTAAACCTAAAATTAGAGAGGTAATTTTAGTTTAGGTTTAGAGAATTGGTATTCTGAAATTGCGAAGTAACTAAATTAAGAATACAGTTGACAGCTGTAAACGAGCATGTAAATTGAATTCACAGATTAGGTAAAAGCATTGAACCGGTAATTATCGGTTTAATTATTAGCAATAATTACTTATTATTCAGTGATTTTGACTTATTTCAGTAGTTCATTGTTGTTCTTCATAATTTTTGAAATATGGAAACTTAAAATAAGTTTGTTATTTTACTGCATGACAAATTATGAATCCATATTATAGAGTGAATACTTGCCTACTCTGAGGTACTTAGGGATTCTAGATTTGGAGTGTTTATCCTTATTTTGGGGAAAAATAAGAACTAGGAGTAATTAAATCTGCGGGAAGAACTTTAATAATCATATTTTTTCTTAGAAAATGCCAAGTATTTGTTTTGGCAAAAGGATGGGGAAATCTACCAATTTTAAAATGAAATTAAAATATAGGTACCAACTAGATTTTGGAACCTAACAAATCTATTAAGGATGATCAGTGACGATGGACCGTGTCGAGTCCTGAGGCGACCTTCAGCCGTAGCATGGTCACCGAGCCGATCTGTAATTTACAAAGTGTCTCGTCCGAGCAAAAACGTTTATTGTTTTGTCTGAGGTATCACTACGATTGACCGGCGGCACCGCACCGGCGCTGTATTCATGCAGCGGGCCGTGGCAGAGCCGAGGCGGGACGAAGTTTTTTCCGAGCGTTGTTTCATTTGTTGCTCGGTTGTCAGTCAGTTACCGCCTGGTAGTCCGTCAGTTACCGCCATTTATTTTATTTTATTTATTTGAATGGGAAAACTTACAGCTATACACACAAAATTTGCTTTAAAAAATTTAACAACTTTAAGCCATTAACAAGTTTTCACTTATAAATATGAAGAATTTTTAGAGATTGGAAATAAAATTTTACAAGTTGAGAAAAATTTAGACAAAAAGAAACTGAAATTCAAAAATTCACAAAAAAAAATTATCAGTCATCAACCGCCTGATAGCTGCAGGTTTCAAATTAAATATGTCGATTGAAGAATATTCATTGACGAAGTCGTTTAGCAATGCACCAGCCCTGCTGAAAAATGAATACTGTCGATAGTTAGTATTACACTTCGAAATTCTTAACGGACGATAACTTCTTAATTGTTTTGTTGGAATATTTATAAAAATTTCACCTAATAATTGAGGTGAGTCTATTTTACCATTTAAAATTTTGCAGAGGAAAACAATGTCAGCGATTTCTCTCCGCATTTGCAAGGGCAAAAAATGATATTTTTTACATCTAGCTTCATAGTTGGGAAGGTATTGTTTACATCTAAATTGCAAATAACGAAGAAACTTCCGCTGAATGCCCTCAATTCTGTTAATATAAACGTTATATGAAGGATTCCATATTTCTGATGCGTATTCAAGGATGCTACGTACGAATGAACAGTATAGTACTTTAATGGGCTTGATACTACTAAAATTGACACAAGATCTTATAACGAATCCAAGTGCCTTCGATGCCCGTCCTACAATATATTCTATATGGTTATCAAATATTAATTTAAAGTCAATAATTACACCTAGGTCTCTCACTTTATTGGTGTATGCAAGAATCTGGTTCCGTAAAGTGTAATTAAATTTAATAATATTAGTTTTACGAGTAATATTCATTGAATAACACTTAGAAACATTTAAATCTAATTTGTTACGAGTACAATAATCGCAAAATTTATCCAGATCCTTTTGTAAGAGATGGCAATCACCAGGTGTAGCAATTTGCCTAAAGATTTTCGTATCATCAGCGTATAGTAGAAATTTAGAATTTTGAAAGCAGGATGCAATGTCATTCAGGAATATAGCAAACAGGAGGGGACCAACAAGGGACCCCTGAGGTACACCTGAGGGCACTGTTATCCAGTTCGAGATAAAACCATTAATAGCTACAGCTTGAGAACGATTCTCGATATACGATGAAAACCATCGGAACAAGTTTCCATGGATTCCGGCGCAGTAAAGCTTCTGTTTCAGGATGGAATGATCAATCCTATCAAAACACTTACTAAAATCTGTAAAAATCATGTCCACTTGTGTCCCAGAGTCCATACACGACGTTACATAATTGTTAGAGAGAAGGAGATTGGAGATGGTAGATCGACCCTTCAGGAATCCATGCTGTTCAGGAGTAAACCAATTGGATAAAGCGGCATAGGTCTGATTGTGTATAATCCTCTCAAAAATTTTTGCGAATATAATCGATATGCGATAATCTTCAAGGTTGCCATATAATTTAAACTTCCGATGAAATTTAGTCTTTTGTTTTAATGTTTTTTTAAGGGCAGCACTAAACCATGGCGGGAACGAACTAGGTAGGATTTTTTTGTGTGGAATGTGAATATTACGAAGATCCTGTAAAGTATGATAGAAAAACTTTACACCTTCTTCAAGAGAGCTTTTTTCAAGAAATTTGTGCCAGTCCACACCATCAAGTCCCTTGCACAAAGATTCAAAATCGCCACGGTTGTAATAATATTTAATAATCCTATTAACTTCAAGTGGAGTTGTATAAGCAAATGAGACCTCAATGCAGAGAGATTTGTGGTGAGGTATGTCTTCCGGCACTAGGGGATCATCACAATTGCGTACCAACACCTCATCGTTTGAAAATACCAAATCTAAAAATCTTTGATTATCATTGCAAACATGATTATATTGGAATAAGTTGCATTGGGTTAATGTATCAAAGAAATCTAATTGAGATTTAGTAAAGGGTCCTATTGGTGCAAGATGGTCACCCTGACTGTGCCAAGAGACATTAGGAAAATTAAAATCGCCTATAATTATAAATTTGTCATCCGGACAGGAGCTAACGATATCAAATAACTTATTTGAAAAGTTTTCTAATTGCATATTTAACGAGTTGCCGTAATTTTCTTTGCATAAATAAAGTGTACAAAAATGAATTTTTAACGTATGCCTAGTAGAAGTTGGCGTGAGTGTCACTGTGACCCAAAGGTCCTCCGATGAGGATCGCCAATCCGGACGACAAACCGCTGCAAGGTCCCGCCGCACAGCCAAGAGAACACCACCTCCTAACGATTGATTCGTAGAAACGTAATCACGATCACTTCTCCAGACTGCATATCTATCATCAAACAATTCTTGGTCATGTATACTATCCAATAGCCAGGTCTCCGACACAGAAATTACGTCATAAGAATTAAGGCTTACATTTCTTTTAAAAATAGCTGTCTTCGTACGTAGTCCCCTCGCGTTTTGGTAAAACACGTTTAATTTATCGAACATTATGGTTTGAAGATTTTGTATAACAAGTTAATTGAAAAAATAATGGTAAAATTGTATAAAATAATTAATAAATTCAGGGAATCCATTCGTACGTAGATAATTGAAATAATTAATAATATAAGTAACAATGTATAGCCAATTAATAAAATGTTATGGTACTGAAAATATAAATATAATAAATTGTTCAAAAGAACAAACAAATCGATATTTGTAAAAATAATAATAACAACCGTCGTAAATATCGACAGCGGCATCTTAATTTCAACGCTGAATAATCTTAACATATAAATTATCAAACTCAAACGAATATGTGTGGACTTATAACGGCTAAGTACTTTTGCTTTATAACCGTCCAAATTAAAATTAAATCCACCAGATATAATATTAATCACTAACTTTCGCCAACAAAATAAATCTATTAAGTTTTCAAACACCGCAAAACAATAACAAAAAGGTAAAATTAAAAGCATGCGTAAAATTACGATCACTAAGTGTTTGCATAGGATAAACCATTGCAATATCATTATAATATTCACAATAACGACAAGCGGGTGCATTGCTAAAAAAAAGCTTTTAAAGGCGGTAAGCGAGAAGCGATGTGCGGAATCGGCCGAGGAGCAATAGGTGGGGAGCGGTGCAGCTAGCATGCGTTCGATGCGTAATACAAAAACAGCGTTTACCAACTCTCGGGGTCGCAACAAAGTGAATAATAAAATATTTGAACGTAAGAAAAAACTAAAATAAAATAAATCGGTACCTATTAGTAGTATAATAATTATGCTATTTTCTGTAGATCCGCTTCCGTCCGTATTGTAATAATACCAGATGTCGAGTTTTTCCTTGCCATGATCTTGCAGTGTTTCACCCATACATACTGAAAATTCCTCTCCTTCGCCAAGGACTTCACTTGAGAGAGTAACCTTTTATTGAAGACAGTAAGGTGGTCATTAACAAAAAAGCAGCTCTCATCCGAAAATTCGGGACTTAGTTCCTTCAACAAAAGCTTCTTTTGAGATCGTGCTGCAGCCACAAAGTCTTCTTTCTTGTATCTGTTGTTAAGTGATACAATTATGGGTTTATATACTCCGGGCTGCTGGGAAGGCATTCTTGCTATGTAATTTATGTCTCTCTTCTTTATTGAATAGCCGATATAGTCCCCAATTTTGAGCACAAGGTCAAACAAATTTTCTTTTTGTTTTTGAGGTACCCCTTTTATTTCTATATTATTGGCACGGTCCCATTGATCCTTGTCGCGCAGCAGTTGGTCCAGCCTCTCCACCTCCGCTCTCAAGATAGGTATCTGAGCTGTACGTTCTTCAGCAACTTTCACTCTTGAATCCAGTAATTTCAACGTGTCATCTTTGATTGAATCATATCATATCATATCATAGCATGAATGTGTCCATAATCCATGTAAAATAAATTATTTAATATAAGTTAACTAAAGGAGTTCGATGGCGCAGACGATTAGTTCGTTCGGCTGCGATCGTTGAAGTTGAGCAACTTTCGCAGTGGTCGATCATTGTATGGGTGACCAAAAATCTTCTATCTCGAGTTCCTTAGTGCTTCGGAAGGCACGTTAAGCCGTTGGTCCCGGCTGCATCTGCAGTCGTTAGCAGGGTATGGTCGCAAAAAATTGTACAAATAACATTCATGACATCGTAACATACGTAACGTACATGACAGAACGTTACATACATGACCATCATAAAGCTTAGTTCATAATAGAACCTATTATAGTAGTTCTACTGGTACTAAATAGTTCTAGGCCTATGGTGGTGATATTATATTTTTTTGATTAACGTTTGGCTTTAGATTTTTTCTTCATATAATATTCTTTGGTTAGCCCATCTTCTTTGTAGTTTTCGTACCAAGAATGTGTTTTCATGAGTTTCAGCACTAACACTTCAGTGATATTATCATTTTTCGCAGTATCTTTTGACTTCATTCTGCGACGATATTGACTGGCTCGCCACTGTTTTCTTTTTATCTTTTATTTTCTTCGGTACATTCCGTGGTTTTCTTTCTTTTTTTATTTTTTTCTGCATTTTTTGATTTTATTTCTTCGTACTTCAAAGGATTTTGGGTTCGTAACTTTTCACAATATTTTGTTTGCCTTTCGGCATTGGTCAAAGGCATCTGGAATATTTATTTTTAACTAATTTTATCCTACTAATATTATATATGTGAAAGTTTGTATGTTCGTTACTCAATCTAGTATACATATATTATGTGTACCAAATTTCGTCAAAATCCATTCAGCCGTTTTTGCGTGATTGAGTAACGAACATATAAACATTCAAAGGATTCTCAAAAAACCAAAGTTAACTCAGACGAAGTCGCGGTAAGGTTATATTTTAAGTAAAATAGTGTAATCTCCGCCTTAGAATCGGTCATGATTGTAACGTTACACATTTCGTTACACATTGTAACATTCATGACACAAAAAAGCGTGCGACAGAACCTAAAATTCAAATATAATTTAATTGCAAACAACTATGGATTGTGACGTAGGGTTACCGTTTTCTGTGATAATACATCTTTCTAAACACGTTAACAGTATACCACAACAAGCAGTACTTACCTTGCAATCAAACATACAAAAAACCATATTTTTTGGCGACAAATCTGAAGTCAACACAAATTACGATTTTGACGTGACAACGTCTTAAATTAGGTTGCGGCTGGGAGTCACTTATGAAAAAGTGTAACGCTCGGTAACGTTACGATGAGTCTCTCGTGTTAAGTTTAAGTTTACATGTACAATGTTTTAGTAAACAAAATATATTTCTATAGTTAAAATTTGTGCAATTCTTATTTTCATTCAATTCCTTGTTCCTATTGTGCAATTTAATTATATTCATATCAATAAATATTCTACCGAGAAAAAGACGTTGTCACGTAAAATCTTCGCCCGTAAAACCGACTTTACAGGCAACCATTTTTTTATTCGGAAAAATATAGCCGATTGTTATTTCTGAATGTTGGCGTCTTGCTTAATAGTGTTGCAATTTATGAAAATGGCAAAAATTACCAAATCACATAAAGGAAACTGGTAGAAACAAACGTTACATTCATGACGTTACACACTCATCATAAAATTGGACACTTTTTTAAAAACAATTAAATATGTAACTGAAACGCTATTTTAATAAGCACGTTTAGAAACACATTGAGAAAGTATCATAAAGCATGAGTACAATTTAATATTTACAAAAAACTATTTTTTTTTCGGAATTATTGGCAATTTTTGATACAAAGGTTGTAGTTGGACAAACGATTTTTGTATGGGAGTGAAAGCAGTACTTTTCAAATTATATTTTTTTTACATATATTTTTTAGGGATGGTAGGTTACATTTCGTCAAAATAATCTAAACAGAAGCTCGTCATTCAGAACAATGTTCAACAAATGACATTTATAAAATAACTTCGAAATTATGAGAAAAATAAAATGAGGACAAAACGAAAACGATATTTGTACAATTTTTTGCGACCATACCCAGCACCCGTCAACCCGCACTGGGCCTGCGTGGTGGGCCATGGCCCAATCTCCCTATTTCATCTATAGGGAAGGCCTGTGCCCCAGCAATGGGGATATTAATAGGCTGATGATGATGATGATGATTAGTTAACTCTGCTACCGCCTACACGGTCTAATGTGAATCATCCTTGAAAATTTCTCGCATCGTAAATTCCCAATCCAGCGCATCTATCTATTACCTACTCGTAGGTACCTACATACGTTTATAAAATTCGGTTTCGGTAAGAGGTTGTAATTATCCCCCCAGCTGTTTTGTGAAGATTTTATTCTCATTTATTGTATAATCCGACATGCGTAACCTATTTTTATCTTTTTGTTTCTATCAGTTTTTGGCGAGATCGTTCCAAATCCCAATTATTCATTTGGTGAAGTTTCGGATCTATAAAAACAAACTTTTCAATTACAAACAGTAGGTACTTATTTCGTGTTTGGTTATTTTAAGAAATATGATTAGCTTATAAAAAGTTGGAAGTAAAAACATTTCATATTCAACAAATATTAAAAACTGCTTCATAGAAACAAAACCACCTATAGAATTAGTACATAGATTTCTTACCTTTTTAGCTTGTTTTTATATGAAGTGGATTTTTATTTATGTTATAAAAGATTTTACCTTAAATTATTTAGTATTTTATACAAGATATACGTGTACATTACCTACGAAAGACCACAATAGCGCAAGTGTAACACTTTCGTTCTGCGATCGTGAATGTTAAGCAATTTTCACAATGGCCCAGCTTAGAATGGGTGATCAACCCAATATGTATTTATAATATCGAGTTCCTATGTTGCTGCTCGCTGCATCTGCAGTCGTTAGCCCTCACTAAGCCGCATTAGGCCATGACACATTAATATGCTTTTAATAAATCCGCATCGAAACATAGACTTAACTATCATTAAAAAAAAAAGATCTTGCTAATATATTATTATCTCCGTCGTCGTTCATTATTGTATAAAATTTATGTCTTTTTTTAACGAAATAAACCCATGTCCAACCTTATCAACAACATTGATTTATACTTGAGTGAATTCGACCGTGTAAACAAATGAGTTGGGAATTAAAATGAAATTGTTTATTGATTGATAAACTGTGGCAATTGATTACATTTTATTGAACAATGCGTACAATATAAGTGAATAAGATTTTAATTAATAAATATGAAATATTTTTAGTATTATTTTCTACTGTTAAAGTTTAAACAATAGTAGTATGTAGCAATTAATGACTTATTAAATTCTCAAAATTAACATGAAAATTGAACCGAAACAAATTAAATTAAGTTTGATGCTTGTGGTTAGTGACATTGTTGTTGACGCAAAAAAACATTGAATTGAAATAAGGAAACAAAAGTGAATTTACCATTTTGATGGTATCATTTCAGATTTCAAAAATAGTGGAGTCCGTACTAATCTCAAGGCTTCACGATGTGATAAGGCATATTGAGGCACTTACTAGTGAATGTGAGGACCTAACAGGTACCACTAATATGGTTACTTTCAATAAGGCTAAGGCAGAAACATTATGCAAAAAATTAGAGGCGTTACACACAAGATTTTCTACAGAATTGAGCAATTATTTCAAACTTAGTAATGACCCATCGGTGGACGATATCTTAGTAACATTCAACTGAAGTGTGAAGATTCTGACTGAATTGAATAATCTTAAAGAAACGTCTAAAGAAACACGATTTAATAATTCTGTGGTTACTAGTAAGCTACCCGAGTTCAATCTCTCAGAATTTGATGGAAATATCCTCCTCTGGCAGTAGTTTTAGGATCATTTTTCCTCGAATATCGACGAACGTAATTTACCAGAAGTAGACAAGTTACTCTATTTGAAGTCGTCATTGAGCGGTGACGCTAAAGGAATCATAGATGAATCCATCTATGATTTATAATTTGATAATTTTTGTGCGTAATTTCCAATCGGAAATCACGCACAAAAATTATCAAATTGCAGTTACCACGCTTAAAGAGCGTTACGGGAAACCTAACCAAATTATCGATGCTCACTACGCTGCCTTGTACAAAATCAAATGTGCAAGCAACACAGCTGCTGAATGTCGTAAAACGTTAAATGAAATAGAGAAACACATTAGAGTATTAGGGGCGTTAGGAGAAAATTCAGAACACAATCATCTGAGATTTATCATCACTGAGAAATTTCCTGAAGATATTATTTATGAAATGAAGATTTCACTGAAATCCGATTCTATTGAGGACATGAGGAAGCAACTGAAAATTATTATTTCGGCCAGAGAAGAAGCTAGCCGAATTAAACAAGAAAGAACATCGTATAATGATAGTTATACAGTAGGGACACTTCATGCGAGGGATAAGATAAATCAAAACCACAACAGTTTGTACAAAGGAACTTCCGTAATAAGGAAAGACTAAACGAAATGTGAAGGAAACCGTTTGTGAATAACGTAAGAACTTTTTACACAAAAAACAACTATCGTAATAATGGTAATAATTATCGTCTAACACCTAATTATCAAATACAAAATACGTCATATGCTAATAAAAGAAAAGGAGAACATCTAAACAATAAGGACTTTGTTTCAAAACGAATCAAACTTAGACCCTGTGTTTTCTGTCAACAACAACACTTGAACGACGAATGTAGAACAGTAAAAACGTTGGATCAAAGAAAGGAAAAACTAGGTCAACGATGTTACAATTGTTTCAGTCCAAACCACCAACTCAACGCTTGTTCCGTCAAAAGGAGTTGTTTCTATTGTAGAGTTATAGGAAAACATAACAAGGCTATCTGTCCTAAGCGTTATTCATACCATGGAGGAAGACCAAGAGATAGGAATACCAATACATTTTCCACTATGACATCGACATCGACAATCTTGCAAACAGCAATAGTAAATGCCAGGAATGAAGAAGGATCAAAACTGAGAAAATGCCGAATCCTAATGGACTCTGGAAGCCAAAGGACTTACGTTACCCAACAAGTAGCTAAACAACTTAAACTACCAATAATTGAAGAACAACATCTATCAGTTTTTATATTTGGATCAAACCATCCACATGAATATGAAAGCGCATTAGTTAAATTACCTATTTCAACAAAGACCGAAACAACCATTATTCTTTATGCTAACATTGTACCCACAATAGCTCAACAAGTTTCTTATCCTGAAAAGGAATTGAATCAATGGAAGGATAAAATTTTACTAGCCGATGATGGTTCACTTGGAGACCAGGTAGGTGGTTCACTTGGATATACTCATTGGAAACGATTACTACTTCACGATCATAAATACAGATAAAAAACAGATTAGTGACAATTTATTTTTAGTAAATTCACAACTCGGTTGGATAATAACCGGCAAAAGAGAATTCGAAGTGAAAGACAACCTTACGGTAAGCACTTACTTTCAATCTAGCGCAGAAGTTAAACTAAACAAACCTGACTTGCCAATAGACAACACCAACCTAAAGAATCTTAGTTAGAATGCATCGGGATCACAGATTCACCTAAAATTACTAAGGAAGAGAACGCAGTAAAAAACTTTAATGAGTCAGTTCAATATTCTGGTAAAAGATACTGTGTCAGTTGGCCGTGGAAAGAAAATTTACCCAATTTACCCACCAATTTAGGACTGGCCAAAGGAAGGCTAGTGAATCAATTAAACGGATCAATAAAGAAACTTTGAAATTATATAATGAAACTATACAAACACAACTAGAAAAGGGAATAATAGAAGTTGTACCTTCGGAAGAACCGGAATGCAGCAAATATAAGATGCATTACTTACCTCATCATGGAATACAAGCTTCAGGAAAGGATTTGAGGATCGTCTATGATGCCTCAGCTAAGGTAAAAAATAGTTACAGTCTAAACGAATGTCTTAGAGCAGGACCCATTCTACTAGAAGACCTGACAAAACTCTTAATAAGATTTCGATCACATAGAATCGGTTTGACAGCTGATGTCGAGAAAGCCTTTCTACAGATCGGTTTGCAAGATGATAGCAAGGACGTAACTAGATTTTTATGGATCAAAGACATAACCAAAGCAGCAACTGAAGATAACTTAGTACATCTTAGATTTTGTCGTGCACCTTTCGGAGTTATATCAAGTCCATTTCTTTTAAACGCTACAATTAAACATCACTTACTACGTTCCAACGATAGAAGCGTACAGCAAGCCTCAGAGAATATTTACGTAGACAACTTAGTTACAGGAACCAAAACTAAACTCCAAGCGATAACATTACATAACAAGCTAAAGCAAGAATTCAAGAAGATTTCAATGAACCTAAGAGAATGGAGTTCAAACTCAAGAGAATTTATAGAGAATGTTACAAATGTGAATGAGGAAACAATATTTAAAGTTCTTGGATTAAACTGGAACACAAAAGAGGACACATTACAATTGAGACCCAAAATTAAATAAATAAATATTTCCAACACTCACACCAATTAGCCTAGCCCCAAAGTAAGCACTATAAGGCTTGTGTTATAGGATACTAGGGTAACGGATAGAATACATATACTGTACATATATAAGTATATTTATACATAAATAGATATTAAACATCCATGACTGGAGTACAAATTGCTCGTATTCATTACACAAACATCTGCCCCCACCGGGATTCGAACCCGGGACCTCTCGAGTCGGCGTCACCATGAAACCCGGCGTACAAACCACTCGGCCACGGAGGTCGTCGGAATTATAGATCTACAAACAACTAAAAGAGGAATTTTGAAAACCATCGCATCCGTCTACGATCCATGTGCATATGTAGCACCTTCATTATTGTCTCCAAAGTTGTTTGTACAAGAATTGTGGAAGAATAAAACCAAGTGGGACTCACGTTTAACAACTGAAAACATAGAACAGTGGAGACCACTACACGAAAAACTACACAATTGTCATGCCAATATACAGAGATATTACACAGAAAACTTTGAAGACAATAAAAACCAGTTACACTGTTTTACAGATGCTTCAGCAAAAGCATACGCAGCAGCAGTATATGTAGTAAACGAAAATGGTATAACCTTTGTAATTGGTAAATCGAGATTAACTCCTATAAAAGATCAAGACAATCTACAAATACCTCGTTTGGAACTATTAGGTGTATTAATCGGAACTCAGTTACTAAATTACGTAGAATCAGCTCTTCAAACAAAGATAGAACAACATTTCTTATGGACAGATAGTCAAATAGTTATAGACTGGTACAACTCAGACAAATTATTAACACCATTTGTAAGCAGACGCATGGAAGAAATAAATATCTTATAATGCGATACGTACCAACTGATTTGAATCCAGCGGATGTAGCAACACGACCCAATAAAACAAGAATAAAACAGGATTACTGGCTTGAAGGCCCAGAATTTCTGTTACAACATCCTAGCAATTGGCCTAAAAGAACCAACCTGATTAAGGAACACTTGGTCTGGGCATCGGAGGATCCGTCAAAGTCAGACAATAGTTTGACGGCTGTTCACCAAGTAAGGGAAATACCAAAGAACACAGATAATCCAAAGGAACAAAGGACCGAAATCGAAGTGATAAAGGAAATTCAAGCACAATATTATCCAGATGAAATGAATATGAAAACAACTAATCTTAGTCGTAATCTTCGTTTGTTTAAAGATGACGAAGGAGTTTTAAGATGTAAAGGGAGACTAGAAAATACACAATGGTCATTCGATATGAAATACCCAATATAACTTCCAAAATACTGCTACTTTACAAACAATTTGATTAAGAAAACTCATCAGGAGAACTACCACGTAGGAGTAAATCATACATTAAGCATAATTCGTAAACACTTTTGAATTCTACAAGGAAAAGTACAACTAATTAAAGTCTTAAGGCAATGTCCAAGATGTATCAAGCATGGAGGCGGTCCATTCACATTACCAGATACACCTTCACTACCAAAAGAACGAGTGAATTACAGTTCACCTTTCACGTTCACGGGAATAGATTACCTAGGTCCAGTTCTAGTCAAAACTGACCAAGGAACTGCTAAAAGGTGGATTTGTTTATTCACATGTTTAGCCATAAGAGTCATACACCTGGAGATTGTACAAGACCTAACCGCAGAAGATAGAAGAATAAGATAGAAGATATCATTCTTCTTAAAGCTTAGCCAGAAGTCCTCTGGCTTAAAGAAGAATGATATCCACAAGAGGAATACCAAAATTGAAAACTTCAGATAACGCCACACAATTTAAATTAATAGCAGAAATTCTAACTAGTTCCTATTGCAAACAGAAAGAAATCCAATGGAAATTCATACCTCAATTAGCTCCATGGTTTGGAGGATTTTACGAAAGATTAGTAGGTTTAGTAAAACATTGTATGAAAATGACTCTACAGAAACATCTATTGAATGACAATAAGTTGAGGACGATAATAAAAGAGATTGAAGCTATATTAAACACAAGACCTTTGACGTGCGTAGATTCTGAAATGATACATATTTTAACTCCTTCCGACTTCCTCACAATGGGAAACACTATAAGCATTGATATCAATATAGAAGATATACCCGTAACGGGGACGACAACCAATTTAACCTAGTCAAGTCATGGAAAAGGACTTTGATTATTCTAGAAGAATTTAAAGACATATTTATAAACCGTTATTTACCTAGTCTTCGTGAGCGATACCAAAATTTAGTTAAGGAACCAAGAGTCAAATCAGCATTAAAACCAGAAGTAGGATAAATAGTTCAACTAAGAGGAGACTCTATAAATCGTGAAAGCTGGAATGTGGAGAAAATAGTCTCACTTACTCCAGGAGACGATGGTCTTATAAGAGTAGCAAAGGTTAGAGTTGGGATCACAGAATACACTCGATCTATTTCACAACTGTACCCGCTAGAGGTAAATGAAATTGATGATGAAACGCAAGCGAAGGTCGTTGACCAACCTTCAGATAAAACAAGATTTGTAAGTCATGCCTATACGCCTGAAATTGAAAAATTGCCTCTAGAAGATTTCGCAAATCACAATGAATCCCTAAGGGAAAGTAACCCAGATACAATAATGCCAATACATTATGATGATTTATCTGATCATGAAACTAACAAGACAGACTCACATGATGGTGACACAGTTAATATGCCACAAGTTATAAGTCACTCCAGACCAGCACGTGTCGCTGCGACCAAAGCCTTGGAAAAGATCCAAGAGTGGACTCGCAGCCTTTTTAACACTCTTTAATTTCGCCGTTGGGAGTGTCGCAACGGCAACACCAGTCGCGATGTTTGAGGTGGCAACACATATCAATTGCCGCTATAACTAATGTCAATGTCAAGTAAGCCGCTCCTTTTTCTCTTCTTGTTTGTTGTGCTATTTTAACTAATATACTGTGATTACCTTGTACTATTATTTAATAACTGTTATGTGCCATATAAATGTGCCTACCTGATGCGTGCCTGTCTACGAGCGCGAGAACCAACGGAATATAACGAAAGCTAAGTAGTAGAATAGTTCACATAAATGATAGCCGGTTTGCATCTCATGAAAAGTTTGTATGTGTGAAAATAAGCGCTTACCTGAGCACTTGATATTAACCTATGTACCTGTGGGTACCGGCACGGTAAAGAGATACTCTCTCACACGGCGAAAGCGCCGGAGAGTATGGGCGTGAAACGCCTGTGGCATTGACATAATTATAACAATATAAAAGAGGAGGGCTTGTGCTTCTGCAGGAGGCAAATCCTAGGGTACCCTACTAAGAGGCCACAAGAGAGTGTTATGGCAAGCGCAGCGCTATGTCTGGACGGAGCTGGAATAGTGGCTGAGCCAGATGGAAGACGTTCCATAGTAGTGCCATATAAGTGGGCGACGCGGCTCGTGCATGTAGGCGCACACATGCACGGGTTGCGTGGGGAGCAGGCGACGGTCTTGGCTCTCATGCTCACACCGCTCTGCAGGAGCGTAGGACATACATGGCAAAGAGTCATGTTAGGAAATCTCCGCATCGTTTAGACAGCTAACGTAGATAGTTGAGTTAACATGGGTAATTGACCTACAGATAATCTCGATACTCATTTATGACAATATTTATGTGTTCTATGAATCCTGGAATCATACCGTTGTGATGGTGTGACTCCGGGATTTAGTGGCACCACGCAGTGGTGTCATAACTTTATTTATACTTACAGATGGAGTAAGAAAGTGATGAGAGGCATGGACGGACATTTGCTGGTTCTTGAAGGTACATACAATATAATCTGTGGTAAGTAATCACCCTTCGTCCCTCAATTCTCCCTTTGTCACGTGTCTATCGTCTAAAATCTCGCGATCCACGGTGGATACGTTTGTATCACGGATATGGGCTGCATGTGGCAGCCCCACCCCCAAGAGGGTCGCGACAGACCGCGTGGTGTCGGTCATGCGAGCCTACACTACATACATCGAGTTCGAGGTTGTTACTTATGCTAATAAATAGTACATATTAAATAAAATAAAATTGCCTTTATTTCAGAACTTTCTTAACATAACATTGATTAAACATTTTACAATAAGTCACGCAGTTCTGTGTGCCTTTTGGCAAAGGCCTCCTCTAACCGACGCCATTCACCTCTGTCAGCTGCAACTCTTGTCCAATACGGACCCAGAGTACAGCTGATTTCATCCTCCCATCTTCTAAACTGGCGTCCTCTCCTGCGCTTTCCATCTCTAGGATACCAGACTGTCACTCGCTTGCTCCATTTGTCTATGGTACCTCTCAGCAAGTGGCCCGTCCACCTCCATTTTTGTTTGTCCACTCTAGATAGAATGTCTGTTATTTGCATTTTAGATCTTAGATCCTCACTTCTTATTCTATCCCTTAGACTTACTCCTGACATACTTCTCTTCATAGCCCGTTGACAATGAGTCAGCTTATCCCTTAGCTGCTCCGTTAAAGACCAAGATTCACAACCGTAGGTCAGACACGGTAAAATGCAGGTATCGAAGGCTTTCCTTTTAATGTGGATCCCCAGACTCTTTTTTTTCATTATTTCCTTCATCGACCAGTATTTCTTCCAACCATAGGCTATTCTCTTGTTGATTTCTTTAGTCATCTGGTCACTAAAAGAAATAATTTGACCCAGATACACATATTCAATAACATATTGAAAGTAGTCCCCATTTAACAATAAATCAATGGGATCTGAGTTAGTCATCACCTTGTTTTTTTCTTTATTTAACTCCAGGCCTACTTCTATACTAATTGTAGCTAAATCTTGGATCATAGTTTCAAGCTTCTTTGAATCCTCTTCGAACAAAACTATATCGTCCGCAAACCTGAGATGGTTAAGTCGACAGCCGCTGATGTTTAGGCCAAAGTTTTCCCAATCCAGTTTCCTGAAAATGCTTTCAAGAACAGCTGTAAAGAGCTTAGGAGACAGAGGGTCCCCTTGCCTTACACCCTTGCATATAGGGAATGGGTGGCCAATAGATTCTAATTTTATGCTACTTATGCTTTGTTCATACAGGTTTTTAATTATGTTTATATATACTTTATTTACTCCTTGTTGCTTTAAACTTGACCATATGAAGTGGTGGTTAATCGTGTCAAATGCTTTAGAGTAGTCAATGAAAGCAAGGTACAACGGTTTTTGGTATTCATTGTATTTCTGAATAACTTGCTTCACAGTGTGAATATGGTCGATAGTACTGAAGTTTTTCCTAAACCCTGCTTGCTCTACTGGTTGGTTCTCATGTAGCGTTTTTGATAGTCTATCTAGTATCACTTTAGCGAACACTTTATATACATTTGACATCAAGCTTATTGGCCTGTAGTTACCAATCTCATCTTTGGCTCCTTTTTTGTGAATGAGTATGATGTGGGATTCGCACCACTGTTTCGGAATGAGTTCCGTGCGTAAGACATCGTTGAAAATTGCTGCCAAAATTGGGCTTAGATCCACAATAGTTCCTCTCATTAGCACATTAGGGATTCTGTCAGGGCCAGGTGCCTTTTCTAGTTTCTGGGAGTTGATAGCCTTCTCAACTTCTGCAAAAAGTATAACTGGAACCTGGTTTTCTTCGATTTCACTTTTAGAGGTTTCAAAGTTGTATTTCGTGGTAGTGTGATGATCAGAGTATAATGAGCGATAATAGTTGGTAGCTAATCTTTGAATTTCTATACGTTTTGTAATGTCCCTTTGGTTTTTCTTCATTCTAGGGATCCAATCTTTACCTTTTTCTCTTAGAACATTTAGTGCTTTCTTTACACCACCAGTCCTTGCAATGTGCTTTTCTAGTGTTTGTGATCTCCTTGAATGTCTATCTTTTTTCATGCTTTCTCTTATTTGTTTGCTTAAATTTGAAACTTTGCTACGGTTGTCTTTTGCTTTTTCTGCTATTAGCTTCTTCCTTTCTTCCAGGAGCTTCATAGTTTGTTCGCTGTGTTTGATGTCTTTGCTTTTTCTTTTATTGCCCTTAGATAGTTCGGTAAGTTTTTTCTCTACATTATTATATTTTTCGACCACGTGTAATTCAGACCTGGCCAGTTTTAGTAGAGGTTCGGCAACGCGTATATCCAATGTTTTGAGTTCTTGATCGTAAGGTACATTAAAAAGGTTTCTGTTAATATTAGTTTCCTCGACTTTTTCGGTAGAAAGTAGTTAAGACAGCTACGTAGCATGCGGTGGTTTGTGTAAAAATTAAGATTTTGTATTACATGTGTGTCACTAAAAAGTCTGGGTTTATTTGTCAGAATATAATCAATTTCGTTTTTGGTTCTTCCATCCGGAGATATCCATGTCCATTTGTTTTTGGATTTTTTTCTGAAGAGAGAGTTGAGTACTGTGAGGTTGTTTTCTAATAGGAATTCCGCTAGCTTATTGCCGTTTTTGCTTATTTTACCTTGCCCGAAATTCCCCAGAATTTTATTTTCTCCTGCTTGTCTCGTGCCTAACTGGGCATTGAAATCACCCATCACTAATAGGTTCTGATTAGCATAGTTAGCTACGACATGTGTCGTAACGACAGTGTATATTAGTGCAATAATAAAAAAAACTTCCTCTTTAGTTTACGAAATAATAACTGTTTTTATGGAATACGCTGGCGTGACGATCAAGGTAGCATACACTAGGCTATTCTTGAAAATTGCTTATAGTACAACTAAATTTTCACAGAAATGCATGACGCAAATATGTCTCTACCATAATAAATGTTTTTTTTTGTTCTGTAGCTGTTTTCATTTTACACAGAAATTTCGCCAATATCCCTTAGTGGGAGAGACAAGATATGAGAGAGATTGCTCGGTATTTATACAAATAAAATTTTAATATTCTATCCGAATAACCCTTCTTCCTTGAGCTTTTATCATATGAAACCGATGTATTTTTTGCGTGTCACAGCCCACTACGACACGTTAATATGTTTCTTACTTAAACCACACCACTAGAAAGAAGTATACCAATCTATGGCAAAGGACATGGTAAAGTTTTGTATGAGCGACTGACTTAGTAATATATAATGGTAAATGACTGAATATTTATGATTTCTATGAAAATAGGCTCAGGAACTTCTAAGAAAGTCACAATCTTGAAAATTATTAGAAGTCCGACTATGTCATTACCTTACTACAGTTGATAAAAGATGTTGCCAATTATTTACAGAGTCATCAATTACGCATTTTCTTAGAATTTTTCTTCCCATTTGTCTGATTAACTCTTCACAAAAAGATTTTTAAAGCAACAATAAATACAAATAATTTGTTATCGTCGGCCTGACAGGAAATCTGCGAAGTTTTATTTTGTCCATTTGTAAAAAATAAAGGATAAATTATCATAGAGCCTTGTCTCAAGCCTGATCACAATAATAAAATCTTTTATTTTAGGTTGTCATTGGTGCCAATTCTGGCGTGACTCTCTAAACTTAAAACTAAATTTAACATCAGTCTCTCCTTTTCATTCTGTATAGAGAATGACAAGGATATACTGCTGTCAATTTTAAGTTTAGGTTTAGAGAATCATGCTAGAATCGACACCAGTGATTTATTATAATAAAAATTAGGGCCAAATATGTCATAGTTTGAAGGAGTTTAGAAATAAAATATTTATATTTTTGTTTATTTCGATATAATTACACAAATATTTTTTGTGTACATTTATCGTTCATGTATTTTGTAAAACGGAACGTTTTGCTTTTAATAATAATAATCATTTATTCACAACCCTCAACATTTTACATTTAAAGTATATGCTAAAAAAGTCTACGGGTATTTACATAAAAGTCTGTTTTGAAACAGACATGTAGTAAATTTTTGTACTTTTAAATATTTAATTATTTCCCGAAAGTTGTATGAGAATAATAAACACGTAATAATTAATAAAAAAAATATTGAAAAGTTACGGGCTAGTGCGAAATATTTATACACGTTAAGGGCAGTTTCTTAGCCATGTCCTTTACTAGAAAATATTACACGCGGTCCCGGTAGCAGACGGGACTCGCGCCACAACACAATAATATGTTTCCTTTTTATCCAGGCATGGTCGTAACAGCATGATATCAACCATCTGCGCTACTGAAGAATTAGTGGAATCCATAAAATATAGTCTATTTCGGTCAAGTGTACGTGAGAAATTTATTGTAGTGTTAACTACCTCACAGAAGGTTATCGAAAAATCCAAATCGAAATATTTCGTGCCAAATACTCCATGAAACATTAGAATGCGTCACACCGACATTTTAAGGTAAAAAAATAGGAAATTAATAAAACTTAAGACTAGGCTGTATGGGCATTGTATTTTTGCCTTCTTTGAAAAGGGAGAATCTTGAAATAAAAAATCGTCATGATACATGACAGATGAGATGACAGCTGACAGAAAATTTCTGTGCGTGCGTGAACTCGTGAACGAAAACGGGCACCGCACTGATTGTTTTTGTTTTAAATATTATTTGAAATACAATTGTTTGTGCGATAAAAGAATATATATGTAACAAGATGTCTAAAGAAATTGCTGAAGTCCAGCTTCAAGTGCGTTTCGTCACAAAGCAAGAGCAGTAAGTACATTCTTCGGCATGGTCACTGCGCCTACAATGCATGTGGGCATGTTTTTTACAATCCCTGATGCATGTCGTTTTTTGCAGATACGCTGTACCAGATAGTCCGTATGCTATACAAAGTAATTTCCAGTCTACGGAACTTAACACACTTATTAATGCTTTATTGAAAGAAAACAATGTTTCTTCGCAAAAGTCGGTAGAATTTGATTTCTTAGTATGTGGGGAACTTTTGTGCACTTCACTCTCAGAACATTTACAAGAAAAGGGTGCGTCCACTGAGGAGACACTTGAGATTGAATATATTGAAAGGTTTCCTGCTCCGTCACCACAGGATTGTTTGATGCACGATGACTGGGTTTCAGCAGTGCAGACTAACAAAAATTGGTGAGTTGAATGTGTAATTTAAAAAAAAACCTCTGGACAAATTACTCTTATTACAAAATAGGGGAACGCATTTTATGTGTATGTGATCATTTTCAGGATATTATCTGGGAGTTATGACAATAGTATACACATTTGGAGCACAAAGGGTCAACATAAGCTAGCTATACCAGGACACACATCACCAGTTAAAGCTGTAGCATGGGTTAGTTTCAATGAAGACCAAGGTGTATTTGTAAGGTAATCCATGTCTTACAAATCTTATTATTAAAATCACTAAACAGTGGTACATATGTACTGCATAGATTAGAATGTGATAAATTTGTATTTGAATATAGGGTTTTGTAACTACAGCCTTTGTGAGTGCCAATTTCATTACAGAGTTATTATAACTTACAGAGTACACAAAAGATATTAAACCTATTCAGTCGTAATTTAATACATTTCAGTGGTTCACATGATCAATCGGCTATGTTATGGGTATGGAACGTGAAGAACAATTCAGTGGATTGTGTAGTGACATGTCGCAGCCATGAAAAGGGTGTGGAGTGCTTAGCTGTTTCCGCTGATACACTTCGGTTTGCTACTGGAAGCTGGGACACTAATATCTCTCTGTGGAGCACAAGTAAGGATAAATATTATTTCAAATCATAACCAATGTGCAGGTCAGTTAGCTACGCATTCAGAACATCTACCAAAGAACCCAATATAGGCCTTAAAGTTGATATTCAGAGAGCACTGGACGAGTTGGTGATCACTACCAGTAGTATTGAACCTGTTGATCACAGAGACATCTCTGAATATGAACCTCCTGTCCATCATGATGAAATTGATCTCATTTTTAGTCATAGTATCGGGGCTTTGCCACATCCACTTCCTTTGGGGCTGTTTCTTGAAGAAAGGGTTCCTCAAGAAGAGCTCTTTCCATTCAAGGAAGTTGACGAGCATTTGCCCCCTATGATTTCTGCTTCCAAATCCATGGGATCCTACTACCGATTCGCTGCAATTCTGTACTCCCACTTTAGGGTCGAAGTCCCCCATAACAACATTGTAGTAGGTCTTAGTAGTGGAGTGGAGGGCCCTTGATATATCATCGAACATGTCCGACTGTGTCGAGGTCGGTGCGTACACTTGCACCACCTTGAGGCTATACCTCTCGGTGAGCTTTATAATACGGTACACCACCCTGTTCGACACGCTGGACATTTATTGGCAAGGGACTTATTTACCAAAAACCTATCGCCACCTTGGGACTGCGGAATTAATTTAGGTGGCCTGATTCTAGGGTTATGGTGTCCTCCCCCCTCTTCGTCGTCGTCCTCTTCGGACTTCACTTAACCCTAACACGTGCCACCTTATCTTCGCAAGCAATTTTAATTATTAATTGCATTTTTTTTTTTATATATTCCCAGTGATTTATCTAAAACAAATTATTTTAATCAAATAGGGGGCACTTTAGGAACACATTGGTATCAGTTACATTATCTTCTACAGGTCCTTCTGATGAAGAAAATGTTCCAGCAAAGAAAAGGAGTAAGCCAGATCATGGGAATACAAGGGTGAGTTTAGCTTTATGTTTTATTTCAATTGTGTTTTAAAATAATTCTGTAAATATTCATTATTACATATTATTATTTGAGATTATCATAAAATAGAAAACACTAAAGCACAGTAACTTATAAGTTAGTACTTATTATAAGTACTATACTCTATTCAAGTTCACAGACTTCTGTTGACAACTTTTGACTCGAGAGGAAGTTGAATAGAGTATAACTTATTATATAAGCCACTGCCATTATAATCCATTATATGATTGATATCATAGAACTGTTTTGCATAGCAAAACTGATATTATATGTTGGATGAAACACACAGCGTTAAGTGAAGAAGCAGTCTTATAACTTGATGTAATCTATCGTAACTTTTATTATATGTTGAATAAAACACACAGCGTTGCAGCAAGGGTCTTGCTGGTGAGCCTATGAATTTGAAAAACTGCCAACGCATGACAAAGTAAGGATGGTGGCGCCGCTGGTGAGTTAGAATCACAAACTGTAAGTAAAGCCCGATATTCACTGTAAAAGTTACGATAGATTACATCAAGTTATAAGACTGCTTCTTCACTTAACGCTGTGTGTTTCATCCAACATATAATATCAGTTTTGCTATGCAAAACAGTTCTATGATATCAACAATGATAAAATAGGCTAGTGATGATGTTGTAATATTTTAAACTTTATCTGAGCATTCTATTATAATTCAATAAAAAAATTGTAGAACCCATTGGTCACTCTCAAAGGACATCGTGAGGCAGTATCAGCTGTACAATGGTTGGATTTCAACACTGTGATATCTAGTGGCTGGGATCATTTGTTGAAATTGTGGGACTGTGAGCTTGGTGGTATCAAGCAGGAAATAGCTAGTAAGTTCATACATACGAGTATTTTACATTTATATGTAATTTACCTACATATATATTGACTATGAATATCATACTGTAACGGGGGTTAGAAATAGTGACTTTTGTAAGAAACATCTACATTAACATTCATTTGTAATTTTTTCAGTATGTGGTTGTGTTATTGGGGTTCTCCTCTCATATAAAGCTTTTAAATTAGAATTATTTTTAATAATATGAAATATTAAAAATAATTTATGAACAAACTTAAAAATATGCGATGTCAAAGTGCTCTCTTTCATGTCAATGATTATGGAGATGCACAGTTAGCAACACATCAAGCTATCAAGTATTGAACTTTTTCACGAAGTTTAAAGTCAGTTTGTGATTAACAGTTTTGTACGACTTGCTTGATGTACAATTTTTTTAATAAAATTTGTATCAATTACTTTTTTGCAGCAAACAGGGCATTACTTGATGTGGATTGGTCACCATTAAGCAATAGCATAATTACAGCTTCTGCAGACAGATATATTCGACTGTATGATCCTCGGTCCACAGGTATTATTATCTATCTATATTATTGACATGTAAAAACAAGTGGACTCACAATCGCCTAACAAAAGTGCATCAAAAACTGTCCCAGTGTCCACTCGGACAGTTTTTGATGCACACAGGGACCAGTGTCCACTCGGACAGTTTTTATGCACACGGGTACCTGTGTTATTACTTTACTTCAGGTTATACAGATAAAATTAACACATTTGTTCAAATGAACACTTTATGTCGTGGCAGTAAGGTTAAATGTCAATTGCATATGAGATAAGCACGACTCTTTGAAAACAACGCACAAATGGCGCGTGTGCGTAATTTTGCGACACTTTCAGTGCGATCGTAAGTCTACTTTACTTGTTTTTATACATCAATGATCTATATATATATATATATATATATATATAAAGACTTTATCTGCCGTGTTTTATTGAGTTGATCAAGTTGTTTAACGGAATGATTTTTTTCTCAGACAGCATTGTAAAGACGACATTCACATCTCACACTGGCTGGGTTCAGTCAGTACGCTGGTCCAAGACCCGTGATACGCTATTTCTATCAGCGGGATACGATGGACAAGTGAAGCTTTGGGAAACCAGAAGGTTAGTACCAGGTTTATTGATGTGTAACATCTTTCCTCTAGCTTTTTTCTTGCAATTTGTGAGTGATTTCGTGAAATGGGACGGAAGTGTGTAACAGGAAGTCGCGAAAGCGTGCGCTATTTGATTTGATTTTAGAACATAATGTTCAAATGGCTTATTCCTTCTGTAGTAGGTTTTATTTCTTTTTTTTCTAATATAAGGTGCGGTTTAAAATGTTACACATCATACGCGACTACTGTAAGGCTCGCTCGTTTTTTTTTAACAACAGGAATTGTTAATGATATGTAGGTGAAGCATGTATAATGCGATTCAACTAAGAATAAGACCGACTGGGCGCCATATTGTGATGTCACAGCTGTCAAATCAAACCAAATAGGTAGAGTGAGCAAAAAAAAGTTTTTATTTAATAAAACATATTTACTAAGATTAAGTGAGAAAAAGTATTAGATTATTTTAATAATATTTATTTACTAACATTGATAAAACAAAAACACCGATTTTTAATAATATTTATTTATTAAGACTGTGTGAGAAAAAACATTAATCAGAATCCAGCTCTTCAATTCCGCTCATCTCTGCATTACCGCCGGAGTAGTTATGAATAATCATGCACTATTACTAGGTCACATACGAACATACATCCTTTATGTAAACGAAAGTTTGAAATCGAGTTTCTGAACGCAACTTAAAGTGACATTTGGTTGACGATTTAGGCTATCAACCAGTCATGGCCAAAGCTCAATAAATGAAAAAAAAATCAACCGATATTAATTATCAATATTTTTATTTTGTGTTTACAAATGTTTGGTTTTTATTCTAGAATTAGCGGAGTGCTAAAAAGAGTTCCAAGACTTTTTTTTGCAAACCGTACTTTTCAAGCGACATTTGACAGATAGATGTCATTGGCTTTCCTATTCTTATTTGAATCGCACTATTGGGATCTGACATGGAGGCGTGGCCTATTCAATATGGCGCCGACGGGGGTGCATTTGCCTAGTCAAACCGTGATGAAATACCGTAAAATAGTTAAATATCAATATTAGTGGTAGATAATGATAGTCTTAACAATTAATGATATTTGTGAATGGTCCAGTTCAACGCCCAGTAATCGCAATTTTCGAGAGGGTGAACGACTGGTAGCTGCGAAACATTTATTGAATTGTGGTATACACAAACATTTATTGAATTGTGGTAACTAAACCAAGGAAACTCTTTCATTTTAATGTTGTTGCCGTCCCATTCTTTTCTTAGTGGAATAATAATGAGATCTTGTAAAATGCTACTTCACACATGCTTAACCTCAAAAAACGAATTTGACTCACCTGGTAATATATAGTCGTCTTTCAGAAAATGCAATGAACACACTTTCATGTGAGGATTTATTTTACAGTCAATCTTCAAAGCGTTCTTCCATGCTGTGAATTGGTCCACTTTTTCCATTTGACCAAAATAATTTTTGATGTAAACACAACGCGCATTTTTTTTAGGAAACTTATGAAACGTTAATTCACGGTTTTTTTGAAAACTGCTTCCACATCCATACACACAACACTTTATTCTTTTTTTAGAAATCTTGCGAGGGTTAAATATTCCTAATTCTTCCGTCATTTTTTGTTTAATTTCTCAAAAGTACTAATGACACTAATGATAACTTATGTGTTTTGATGAGCGATGCACCCCGGTATTAGTTCCAAAATTGAACACCAGGTGTCTCACGAATTTTGTCAGATCCCAATATAGGGATCTTGGGAGATATCTTTAAGGCTGTGAATCTAAAGTTATGAAGTCTAACTGTCTGTCCACTGTAACCTGCATCTCATAGGTGAAATGGTTGAAAAATTAATATTTTAACTATTTTTTTTTGTTGTAAGGGAAACATAGAAAATGTTACCCTTACAACAAAAAAAAATATTAAAGATGGAGTTAAAAATAAAGGTATAGCTATGCAAGAAACATGTTTGCTATTTTTTTGTCAAACTTTAACATTCACTGAATAATATAGCGGCGAATGACGTCAATAGAACATTGTTTGGGTAAACTAAAGGCGCGGTTTCTTAGAGAACGGTAATTGCTACCGTAACGTCAAATAGCGATGCCGCCATAGGCGTGATAACTGTCTTGTCAGTGTCAAAATCAACCTTAAATAAAACAAAAGGACTCCAATATAACTGCTGCATTACAATGTATACAGCAACCTCTCAAACAGAACTTAAACCTCTGCTCATTTCCCTTTTAGTCCACGTACGCCGCTATATGATCTGAGTGGTCACGAAGACAAAGTTCTTTGCTGCGATTGGTCGAATCCTTCGTTGCTGGTCAGTGGCTCTTGCGACAACACACTAAGGATATTCAAAGCGAAGAATGCGGTCGGCAATGCGTAGGTAAAACATGTGACTATATTTTATTAGAGCGATTCACACTAGGGGTGTCCACTCTGAAAAAACATCGATATTTTTTTTTATTCCATACATTGCATGATGTCTTTCGATGCATCGGATGAAAACATCGATGTTTTTTAAACATCGATTACTTTTTCTAAAATTTGATTACAAAACTCAACTAATGTGGAAAGTGATTATCTCAAAAGAGGCCATCTTTTTGTACAGTACAGTATAGTATGTTTTTTTTATTGAATTTTATGAAAAGAGCTTAATCCATTATTTTATTATAATTTAGATAATTATTAATCTTTCATAAAAAAAAAGAATTAACTCCTTTCATAATGAGTAGGTAAAAGTTAATACAAGTAAATCCATGTATCAGAAAAATCTGTATTATATTTTACAAAAGATCAAATTGAAAAACACTAAATAACCCGCAACATTTTGCTCAGCCTGTCAAAAGAATATTAGAAATATACTTCAATCTTATTTTGTTTCACAAAACCAAATGTAATTAAAAGTTTAGAAACATAGAAACTTGCTCGCCAGCCGACATGAGAAAAGTAGTTTTTTTTATTGTCTCTGCACTGACTCTTGCGCAGTGCTGCCAACATTGGATCTATATTAGAGAATTCGGAATAATGATGCGTTTATAATAGTAATAGTGGTCAAACTTAAGTTTTTTTTACTGAGGTCAAGCCAAAGTGATAATCACTATGTGGTCAAACTTGTCTATTACCAATCCGCTGTTTTTTTTTAAACATCGATGCATCGGGTATATAGAAAGCTTTTCAAAACTTCGGATTGATTCGATGTTTTTCATTGCAAACATCGATGTTTTCGATGCATCGATGTATATCGAATATCCCTAATTCACACTAACATATAAAAACTGATTACGAAGTTGACTTTATGTATGAAGCATGAGTATTTGGCAGCACTTAGACTTACTCTTGGAAATACAAATATATTTAAATGTTTCAAACGAGTTTTAATCAGAATTATTCTTATTTTATAATAGTTTAACTTCTTGATCTCTCATTTGTTAATTTAAAATTGACTTCAACATCGAAGCCCTTTTTTGAAGAGCAAATTGATGTCAGGGCCAGTGTCAATTTAAGCTTAGTTTGTGTCCTTCAAAATCAAAATGTCACCTGTCAGATTGCGTGTATTGTGTAAAATATATTTCTGAACGTTTCATGATTATTGTACAAGTATTGTATTGTTTTTGAAACTTGTTAAGGTTCTAATTGTGAAATAGTGTAGTGCTTTAGATTAAAACAAAAAAGGAAGATACGGCACTCGAGGCTCAAAGGTCATCCGCTTAAATTGTGCACGATCACAATTCGCTGTAGTCACAATTAGACATTCAAACACGCTGCATGTACACTTAATATAACAATATTGCGTATATTCTGTGTTATAAAAATAAAACAATACCTTCGATGCTTTTATAAAGACCACTAATAGTTCAAAATCAAATAATAAATGTCTCGGCAACACTTCTTATTTGTAAAACTGTAAAATATTTTTTAACTGTAAATTATTTATTCTGTCTCGCTCGCTCCATTGAATGTTATTTACAGACGTGTGCGTGTGTGAGAGTTCTTATGTAGTTGAGTAGGATCATATTTTATTTGATGCTAATATGAGCGTACCGTATCTTCCCTTTTTATTTTAATCTAAATGTAGTGCTAACTTTAGTTTGAAAAACAATGCATATCAAAAGTATGATTCCGGAGCATGTGTCTGTGTTAATGTGTTATTTAGTTGTAATAAATTAGTTTTAATATATTTCTGATTTTCTATTCATATTCCTGTACTGTACTCGTGTAAATCACGAAAAAAATAATATTTTAATGAATTTGTACCTGACTTGAGTAGGCAAGTGGTTTCATATAGCTTTTCTAATGCAACTTTAAGAAAAAGCGGTCGCTAAACTTGTATTTGCTAATGTCAAACTTACGTGTTTAACAATAATTATCATTGGTTACCTACGCATAGGTACATAAGATATTCTGTCCTTGTAGAACTGTGCAACTCCATTATATGTAGTAAGCTAGGTCGATCAATTCTCACGGTCATCGCAAGACATATCTAATACGAGGTTAAAAACTGAATAACTTATTATTATATTATTAGGGCATATACCCTCAAAAACTGAACAAGTCGTGTGTGTATATGCACAGCGCACAACGTATCTTATACGAACAGATGACGAAAAAATAACATTTAGTTATTACGCGATTGATGGCCACACAGAAACATCATTAAATTTTTGAGTTAACTTGATGCTTTCACTTTTACATATATAGCAAGAGAAAAAGGTAGGTACTTAATGTACAGACAGCCGCAGTGAAGTTACCCGAAACTGTATATATTTTTTTCCAACTAACTTGGACATCTGTATTTCAGTTTATGGCAACTCGATGTGTGGCTGTCTGTACCAGACAGAATAAACCCTCTGGACGAGCAAAGAAGACGAATTATAGAAACGCGCGTTGCCTGCTAGTTTTATGAACTCGAAAGTTTATATAGGAACTAACTAACTGTCGTCCAAAATGGGTAGCGTGAGATTTTTTTTTCAATATAGGTTCGTACAAATGACCACCCCACTCGATGTAGTAAAGACCAGATCCAAAAAAAAACTGGTGCAGCGGTTTAGACTCATTTTTCCACGTTTGCGTTAATTTATGCATATAGGAGCTTACTTATGCCTAGGTTGCTAATGGTCTAACTGTATCCCTTTCGCTTTCCACAACAAAACTAAGTGTCAATGTGACATACGTGAAATACATATGTGACATTGACACTTACTTTTGTTTTACAACTAGAGGTATATATTGTTTTAAACTTTCATTGTCACTAACATTATAGTAATATAAGTTATTAACGGGATTGTTACGATACGGTGATATGTACCTTGTTTTTTGTGAGTTTCCGATATTTCGGCACTGTTGCAAGCGCCATGATCACGGAGTAACTCCAGTTACTTGCAAGAGCCATGATGACGGAGTAACTAAGTTACTCCGTGATCATGGCGCTTACAACAGTGCCGAAATATCGGAAACTCGCAAAAAACAAGATACATGGTAACAATCCGTAAATAACTTATATAACTAGAGGTATGTTCTGAAAGGTAAAGAGATATGTAAGTCACATTGACACTTAGTTTTGTTTAGAGAAAAAAAAATACTTAAATCGGCGAAGAGTGTGCGTTTACATTTATGTGCATTTTCGCTTTAAAATGGGCATTGCGTATAATGTGCTAGAGGAGCGCCATCTGACGAGACGTTCACGGAAAAGCGATAGAGTTTATATTCGCTTACTGAAGTTACCTGCTATCTTTTAATCGGGCTTCATCTACCAATGAAATAATGTACTAGATTTGGTTTCGCTTGTTTTATTTCAATCATTTGCTCTTACAAAATATGTTCAATGCAAAGGAACATGACTTGTCATAATAAAACATGCTTCTTAGTACCATTTTGATTTATTCATATATTATTTTAGTTTTCCATTCAGCATAACTATAAATAATGCGGGTCACATAAAATGCTCATAGCACAATATAGCAAACACTTTGTAACAAAATAGATACATAACTTTCTTCTATGTCTTTTCTCTGCGAGAAATGCTTTTACACTATTATCATAGTTATGCCAAACCTCACACCATAACACAACGAAGCAACATGTCCCTTAAAAATACTCTTTCTTACCAACAATTTCATTTCATTTTTTTTTACATTTTATGAAGTTTTTATTTTGCATTTCGTATTTCTAGACTACCTAACTAAATTTTTATCTAAACTATTCTACTATCTAGACTAGTCTGCTGGGTAGAACACCACACTATATTAATACACATTGGACAAATACATTCGTATCAACACTTCCGACAGATTTTTTTCATTAGTTTTTCTTTCTTTACACTTAACCAACTACATAACAAAAGAGGTGAAAGCAAACTTGTTCAACTGAAACTTATCTCAAGAATGTGTCACTAATTCTTAGAACCTCCTTATGCTACGCGGCGGTGGCGTGAGCGCAGCGGCCCGACTTCAGTCCATTCAAATTAAATTATTTAATAAACTAACAAAGGAAACTACCCTAGAGCCGGCCCCCCGCACTCACGCGCGCCGCCGCCTCAATATATTAATCTAGGGCTCTATTCTATCTAACTTAGCGTCGAAACATTTTTTTTCTATTCTAACCTATCTATGGTTAAGCCTAAACTAGAACTAACCATCATATCGACGTCTCGTCCCTATAGCTTCACTATTCACTGATGCAAAACAAGTCGAGCGTTCACTTACAATTTACGACTTAATTTTAAAAAACATTTACTCTTCAAATTTTTATATTTACTGACATGATTTCATTTGAATCATATAGTTTTGGTTTAAGAGAACTGGTTCCCCGATACGCATCATCATTTGTGCTCGTTTCTGTCATTATAGTTCTCACTATTCATAACATTATCCCCCGTTCGTAATCTCATAGTATCATTATCACACATGTCAAGAATGTTATGTGAGTTTACTAGGAACATCTAAGTTTTACTCTCGATATCGCTTTTTTTTAAATCGTCATGTGTGAAAAATGCAACGATTAGACAGCCACATTATATTGTTGTTACAAAATATTTTAAACATAGTTTTTACATTATCACTACATGTATGAATACGGTAAGTTCTTCTCTATAACCTGTAAAAATATTGTGTAAAGCACATGCGACTGCTATATTGTATCCATCTGTTTATTACTTTAAAGGAAGCTGAAGGCACTACCATCAAATTAATTTTATTGCTTCAATGGAAGGAAAGCGTTAGAAAAATAATTTGGTGCTAAAATACATTTGCCTCTGACTCTACACAGGACCGTGCCACGCTACACTACTAGTTACTTAACACAACACCGGTACATTATAATTTATTAGGTACGCGCCACACCAGGGAACATCGATTGCATTTTGGAATGGAACTAACACAGTCTAGGGCGAAACAGTAAGGTTTTATATATACGGATAACACGACATTGAGGAATTGGGAAACATAAATACATTTACGTAGTTAAATAATTTGTGTCGATTATGTTAACATCAAATTTAAATGCAAGTTTAGCGGAAATATCTATTCGGAAGACTGCTTTTACAGGAAGCCACAGTGTACGTCGAACACTAGACGATCAAATTACTTAACTAAGTACCAGGCGATGCTCGGTACTACATTGCACTTCAAGGTTATTTATACTCTTTCACAAGAAGTAAAGGCGGTTTCTTAGTCAGTTCAATAAATTTGGCTTGATCAGACATTATACGCGTATAATACTGATCTACGGAGTATTATGGTTCAGTACGTCGATGAAACGTTTTTATACTAATAAAAAAATCTCACTTTTTGATAAGCCTTTGTGAGGTGAGTTTCAGTATCGAACATTGTCGCGTGTTCATCGTAGTCAGGCAGTCAGCTAGGCACTATACTACGGGCTGCGTGCATTCCTCTGTCGACAGTTAAGTACTGTTTACGTTACCCTGAACGGGTCGTTCGCAGTAATCACAACGTAAACGTGACTTTTCACGTGCTAAATCATCTATGTTAGCCCAAAAGTAATTTTCAGTTACGAAACAGTACAACTTCAGCCTTCTTAACAATAAAAATAATATAAGGAAACGAATACAGTTCTACTTATTGATCCAAAATCTACGTTTATTTTATTCATTCAAAACCTGCCGTTAGCTAGTCTCAGTTCCTGTATTTATTACATAAAGTCGGTTCACAGGTTTTGAACAAAGTGGTTACCGCTTAATCGTCAGTTAAAATACAGTTATTATATCAAACATTTAACTAATCTTCAGTCCCTGAGTTGTATATATATTTTCCTACTTCTTACTTGACTTTAATGATTTGTATACTTTGGTTCTGATGAAACTCTTGACGTGCCAAAATAGAATTAAACAGTTGCGATATAGTAGGCTTTTACTCGTACCCATCAACAATGTATATACATGTATACATATCCATGTATAATTTATATATATTCAATATAAAAATATCAAATTTCATATAAAGTCATAAAGTGTACCCAAAACCTACGTGATGGTACAAAAAGTGCGCGTCCACACCAAAACGGTGTTACACTTTTGGATTTCAAATCCATCCATTTCATAATGTGGAAATCAATCGTGGAATTTTTGTTTGAAGTTCTCTAGTGGAATGTGCCGACCGCCTACAAAATAACAACTACAGTTGATTCAGTACATGATTCTCAAAAAAGGATCATTTCATTAAACATTCACGTTATCGAACATGAGTTTTTAATGTACAAAAATTTGTATAGAGTCGTAAAATGTATAAATAGAATTTACATACAACTGCTTATTGCTAAATGTTGTCGTATTACAGCACTATGCTGTGCCACAAACGCAGACGCGTAGGTCGCATGCGCACGCTATTCGAAGCAGGTTGAGTCAAATCGCGGTTCGAGAAATATTCGGAAGTTACAGTATACATAAATTCAGTCTGTTCTGGGGTTTGGCAACGACGTCTCAGTTAAATATTCGACTTTAAACACTATTGCGACAAAATATACAAGAAATCGTTATACAACTAATTGTGATTTTAAGATCATGAAAGGTAAGTATTGTAGTATCGTATGAAGCTCTATAGATCAGAGAAATATAGCGACTCAAGCGGCCGAGTTGTTCAGGCACAAGGAGCGATTGCAGCGCTATTAATGTGTATTGCCGATAATGACAATTTAGATGCATGCGATCCATGGAAGACTGCGCCGGTATGAATATGACTGCATTATGTTAGATAATACTGTACAGGTATAGTACTACTTTTGAAATAAAATGTCTAAAGCACCATGCCAAACACATGTTAAACATTCACAAACATACAACATAAACTTCCAACCGTCCACAGAGTGCGGCCAGAGAATATATTATACCTACCCCGAACGCCAGTAGTCGGAGTAACATTATTGTTATTTTTACTCGATTATTTTTTTTGCATTGCTGTTTAATTACAACATGACAATAAGAGCTTCTCTTTTTTTGAATGTATTTTTAAAATACCTAATTTTAGTGAAGATTCTAAACCTTCGCCATAATATTAATCAATACAAGAGCTATTTGGTGTACCCACCCTTTCTAACCGTTACACGCATAAGTCGTTACTCTTTACAAATTTGTTAGCATATAACTTTGATTCCACATGATATGACCTTTTCCACTTATATTTCTATCCTTCCCCTTCAGATATTGCTTTCCTTTACCTCCTGACAAATTTTAAACAGGAAAAATAAAACTTTTTCGGTTTCATTATAAAATAATTATTAAACAATAGCCACTTCAATATATATATACTTATAAACACTTCTGAATGTTAACATTGCACGCTTTTATTCTATTTAGATGTTATAATTTTCCATAATCCGATTTTAAAATTTTCAGTTTCCTTATAATTTTAAAATATGACACTGAATAAAAAAAATATGTAAATGTTTCTTGTCCTCGGGGACAAGTAAAAAAATTTGAAAATTTCAAGAATGAAATTATACTAAGCTAAAATAAATACCTAACTATCTTAAATAATCTTGTTAACATTTTCAAAACTGCGCCTAAAATCTTAAATTTAAAAAAAATCATGAAACAATAATAAAATTATAATGTAAAAACACATTTAAAATTGCAGCTATATCTATACATCAAATCCTCTCCTCCAACCGTCAAAAGACCTCATCAAACAGCGTTACGAACGTCCAGCTAAAGCCGAGAGGATGGGCGGTCCCCTTAAACAAACAGTGAGGCGTATACAAAGTAGATAGGCTTGACTAAGTACGGTAGCTTTCGATGAAGTCTGTGTAACGGTCGCAAATTAAAACTAAAACAAATTAACATTGTAAAAAGTCACAGTTGCTTTGATTTTTGGCTCGTTTCAGCATAACTAACGACGTGGCTTATGGTCTACTTGGGAGGCGGATACGTTTGGTAGGCCTCGTCGGGCGACGCGGCGGTGGACGCGTGCTCGCTCTCCATGGGCATCTGGATGATCGGCGGGGTCGGGCCCGTGAAGTACTGGTACGGGTGCGATGTGAAGTACTGGAACACACCGAACGAAACCTTTACTCGTTTTGATCTAATTTCAATTTAAAGCTCAGCTACAGAGGCTTGCACTAAAGTTTTTAAGTCAAATTTAAAGCTAATCGTGTTTAAACCTAATCGTGTTTAAACCTCATTCTATCTCTATTTGACTTTAAACAATCGACAAAGATGGAATGTTGTGTTGAACAGGGATTAAGTTTTAATTTGATTTAAGAATGTTGGTGCAAGTGGCCCTGAGTCTACATAATATTTGTTAGCGAGCGACAAATCTATCAAAATTGTGCGACACTTGTTTTAAGTTACATAATTTGTACACACTCTGGTAACATTTATTATCAGTAAGTATGTTAAACTGTTGCTGAACATTATTCACGAATCAAACCAGTTACTATATAATATGAATAGAAAAATACTGTATTATATATCTTGCTGGATATTTGCCCTAAAATATTTTCCTAGATTCGTGAGTAATGATAGTAGTGCAGTCATTGAAACGAAAAATACGGTCTGACCTCCGAATTTTTTTACTGTGAACCGATTTGCATGAAATTTTGGAATTAGGCTTATCTTACCCTTAACTTCAAAAGTGAAAATGATCTGAACTCCGCCTATTATTTTTAAGGGGTGTAAACAACCACTTAATGGAAAAAATGACATTGAGATATTTTATCGCTAGAAAACATGTCTAATAGTAAGTGGTGAAATTGTAAAGTATTTTCTAACATAATTACCTCATATTAAAATCATTTTCAACCCATTGAAAATCTTACAACCCTTGCAAACAACCCCTAAATTGAAAAAATCACAAAAAAATACTTTGGTATGACATAAAAAGATGTAAGTATAGAGTAAGTAATATTTTATATTCTCTATAGTAATTATCAAATTTTTAACCCCCTTTCAACCCTTGAAAACTACCCCTTGATAAAAAATTGTTAATTTTTTTTTTGATAAAATGAAAAGGATTGAAATATTATTCCACACTCTCGAAAATGATTATCATATTCTTAAGCTTCTCTACCCTTAAAACTACCCCTAAATTAAAACAGTAAATATATATGATTACATATTTAAAAATAATTTAATTTAGAGTAAAAAATTGCCATTTATTGAATAAAATATTTACAAATTATATAAAATTGTACTATTATTAAAATATAATATTATTATTCATGACTCAATGTCGGAGTCGCTGTCACATTCAACATCTTCTGGCTGAATTGGAGGGCTATTTTGGCAGTTATCTCCACTGCACGTTCCACAGTGCTCTATCTATCTTGCTATCGTGCTCTTTGAATAGTACGAACGTCAATACTAGTAGAATATATTTTTGGATAATATAATTTTATGGCACAATTTTAATAAGATATTATTAAAAAAACAGGTTTTTTATCTACTTACATTTTTTTATTAAACAAAATGTATTGAAATTGGGTGTCTAGTTAAAATATTATATTAAACACGTGCTCATTCCTTTGCAGACGGAAATATACTAGTCACATTATATAAGGAATAAACGGAGCACACACAGCTGATCAATGGCTTTTTCGTTGGCCCCTTCACAGAAATGTGTTATATATACATGTAAGAACGTTGGTATGTATTCATGCCTACGTTTCCAAAATATATGAGCCATATTATGTATATATATACACATTACAATAGTTGTGGGTCTCTATTATACTGCGTACTTTCACATTGCTCCAAATATTCACACTCCGAAATTTTCAGTTACTAAGTAGAAAAAAATATGATAAGTTTTTGGACCATGACTCCTTCAATTTTCATGCTATCACAATTTATAAAAAACCATTATAAAGGTAATTAAGAGAGCTACAGCATCCTTCATTGCAATATATAGTAAAAAACCTTTTTCTAAAACAGTGAAGGGTTAAAGGGCTTAAGAGAGGCCGTGATTGCGCTGCCACGCGCTCTTTAAAGAATCATACCTCCGTAAATTTTTGTTTGACAGAAAAAACAAAAAATCCAAATTGTTTGTCAGAAAAATACATAATTTTTTATTTCGTACACTTTTATACGTATCTGTCGTCATTTTTGAGATATTATGAAAAGAATGTGGGTTTTTTTAAAAAATTTATATTTTGTTTTTGTTTTTAATCGTGACTTTTTTGAAAAATATGTGTCCTGAAGCAGCCAAAGTGATACTATCAATCAAACTTTTCATAATAAAGTTAATTCTAGGCGGAATACGATTAATTTTAATTTTGGTGGAAATGGCACTTATGAAACCCATTGATTTAAAAGAAAAAACATTAGATGCTCCCCTTATTTGCAATACAGCTCACTTATTTTACGTGCAAAAGACTTTTAATAGTGCTCATTTTAAAGCTTATTTCAAGCACTACAAAACCCTTTTGTATTAGAATGCATAAAATGCATCTGCTTGCCGCTAGATGGCATTGACCACATCGATTAAATTTCAGACACAATAAAAAACGTCTTTGATCTTTAATATCTAGCTTAATATTGCATTTAGAATACTTCATAAAAAACCAAATTATTCATTGTTTTACCTGCTACAATTTTGTTCTTTATAAAATTTTCGATAAAACTTACATTTTTGGAGATATTTGCAAAAAACCGATGAAAAACGTGAAAAAATTGCGAAATTGGATTTTTTGAAAAACTTTATAGATGATTTTTTAAAATTAGGCTTTCTATCGATATCCGAGGTTATTTTGAAAATAAATAAATTCACCCCCGAGAAGGGATGGCAACCACCCCCAGGGTGGTTGCGGAGTTCAAATCATTTTCACTTTTGAAGTTAAGGGTAAGATGAACCTAATTCCAAAATTGTATGCAATTCGGTGCACAGTAAAAAAATTCGGAGCAATAATGCTTCAATGACTGTACTATAGAACGTGTGAGTAATTTTAAACATCTAAAAAGTATTTAATCAATTTAAAAATATTCAGTCTTATGACACCCAAAGCAGATACAAAAACATTGATAGGACAAGCATTGGGCAATTTAAAAACTCATAATTATTTCGCTTTCGCGTAAATATATAGAGGTGTGAGAAACGTATGAGCTTGTGCAGGGTTCCAGCGTTTAAGAGAAGCAGGGAGCGTTTATATATATAAATGTGAGTGGAAGCCTCGGGATCGGAAGGTTCGAGCGTTCGGTTGCTGTTATAAAACATTAGCACTCACGTATAATTCGCTATCCGGCCTTATGCTGTCCCAGTTTACCTGGAAAACGGAAAACATCAGTCATTTATTGTTTTGTATTGTTTGACTGAATGTTTGTCGTTTATTTCCAATGGGCCGTATGCTTAAGTTTAGTGTATCTTTATTTTGGCTTGTCCAAACAGTTCTTGAATGTGAAAATATCTAATGAGGTTCAATTACAAAAAATGGGACTAGTTTCTTACTTTCTTTTATTTCAAAAGATCAAGAACAGATGACAGAGGATATAATTGCAGTACGAATATCATTCTTATTGCTACGATATAAAGGTGTCATCAATGTCAAAATCGACCACCAACGAAACACTGTTTCATGTATGTGTCTGGGAGAGCTTTATAGTCCTGTTTACATGTCGTTCGGTCATCTATGTAGTGTAGTGTAGTATATTTTACTAAGTACTCAAATGGACCATTTCTACGACAAATTAATTAGGGGACGACATCTCAGAAGAAAACTCTATAATTTATGCTAATGTTATGTATTATATTTATGCAGTCTGACAAGGAAAATAAATAATTTTACTTAAATGCACTGTAAAGCTAATGAGGCGTTCCAGGTCAGTATTTTATGGGTATACCCAGATATCCTATCCTTCACGTGTTTGCTGAATCCCAATTATCTATCTCGTGGAGTTCAGGACTTTTTGAATTATAGAACGCTTAGAATTGCCGTCTGTTGAAACTATCTAAATGGGCGAGGGAGGTGTTTCTAAAAATGTATTCGTGTATTGCCGAGACTCTTGAATCATGTAGTGTCTTGTCTGAGGCTAGTGTGTGTACGCACTTATTGTTTAGATACAACGTGTATGGGTTACGCGGTGCGCAGGGTGCGTGGGCAGTATTCTTAAATGTTTGAGGAAAGTGTTTCTAAAAATGTGGTCGCGTATTGTGTCTAAACGGGTTCACGGACGTATGCGGGTAGCCAAGCGGCTTGGTACGCCGCGTCGTGGTAGCGGTTTTGTAGTGTAGCGGGTGGTATATCGTCCTTTCCATTGGCGTTCATGTGGTGTCTTGTCAGTACTCACGTATTGGCTACGCACCGAGTCGATGGGTATGTGCGCGGGGTGCGCTTGGTACGCGGGCGGTATGAACGCGGCGTACGCGGACTGCCAGACGTGGTGGTAGTGGTGTAGCGGGTGGTATATCTTCCTTCCTATTGCCGTTCATGAAGTGTCTTGTCAGTGCGGGTAGATACTCACGTATTAGCTAGGCGCCGAGTCGATGTATAAATGCGCCGGGTGCGCGATGTGCGCCGGGTAGGCTGCGTGCGTGGGGTGCGCGGCGTCCGCAAGCAGCCAGACGCCGCATGGTGATGGTGACTCTGTATTTCTCCCTAGCAACTTCCGTTCATGTGGTGTATTATCTGAGGGTAGTTCAGTGCGGGTAAGTACTCACGTATTGGCTAGGAACCGAGTCGATGGGTATGTGCGCAGGGTGCGCGGTGTGCGCCGGATGGGCGGCGTGCGCAGGGTGCGCGGGCGGTATGAGCGCAGCGTACGCGGGCAGCCAGGCGGCCGGGTGCGCCGCGTGGTGGTGGTGGTGCTGTAGCGGGTGGTGGTGGAAGGCCGCCACACCGTATACGCCCGCACCGCCGCGGTACACGCCCGCGCAGTCCGCGCCGCCCGCGGCACCGCCAACGCCGCTGGCGTACACGCCGCTCACGCTCATTGCCTGCAACACAAATTGTGATCATAGAGGTTGTTCGTGCGGAGGTGTTTAGTCTAACATAGGTTGCGGCCCGCAACTTGCGGGGCATACTTTTTGAGCAAAAGCACTCGCCAACTAGTCGCTGCCCAGACATCTACCCCACTCTCACCATCTCCCACTTATCTTCCTTGTCATAAGTCGAATCCGACGCGATGGTTTATGTAAGCACACATTGCCCTTGCTTTACTACTGATAGTATTTAGGCTAGTATTAGAATATAGCTACGCGATTGAAAATCGCAGTGACTGAATGTTGACATATAAATAGGGTATTACGTTTGGAATGGATCTTATGTCTTTTTCTGTATATGTGTCCTCATGTTTATCCCGATAGTTTTGTGTAGGTATATTAATGACGATCTCTTTTATTTATAAATAATGGTCAATTTCATTCAGGTGTAGCTGAATCTCTATGCCTATGCTTACAACTAACGCTTTCAATCACAGCTATCCATCTCACGTTGTTGTGCGTTGCAGTTTTATTTTGTATTAGTATTGATGAAGGTCCCTACGTTGGAATCATTAGAGTACTAACCTGCGTGATTGACTCGGTATTATCCCTCCACGCTCTGCCGTTGTTGTCGTTTTGCTTGTTATACAGAGCTTTCTTCTTGTTGCCGCCATCAGCGAATTTCACTAAAAGAGGCTCCTTGGCACCGGGAATGGGGTTCCCGTTAAACATCTACAAAAACATAAAAAATATTATTTCACTAGAAAAATATTGTCGACTTATTATATTATGGATTTGATGATAATGCAATGGATTGGTTCCCAAGTTACTTGTCAGGTCGTTCGCAGGGAGTGGAGGTTGTTGGTTCTAATGGTACGAAACGGATTTTATCCACTTCTGCATGGAGTTCTACAGGGAACGAATGAATGGAGGAAAAAGAATGGAGTTCTACAGGGAACGAATTTTGGTCCGATGTTGTAAATCACATTTAATTATGTGCCTGCATCTATTATGCATAACGAATATCACTTGTATGCTGATGATCTACAGAAATACAAGTCTTTTAAACCTGAAGATGCGGATTGATCTGTGGAAGAAATATATGATCTACGTGGAGTTGCCGAGTGATCGAAGGTAAATGGGCTTGTATTGAATCCTACCAAATCAAAATTTCTTGTTCTTGGCACAGACAAACAAACGTATTTAATGAATTGTAAAGTAAAAATACTTAAAAATACTAGTAGGAAACATAGAAATTGAAAAACTTGTTGAATCAATAGGGATGATGACTAATTTTTTTTTCTTCGTTTATCAGGTAGATTATCAAAAAGTATTGGACACCTATTTTTTCTTTTTTCACATAATATAAACATTGCAGAGATATATTGATTTGAAAAGTCGCATGACGTCACGTGTACTCAACACTTATAAGTGAAAATTCACTCAAACGTGACGTCACGAGCCCCTACTCCCAAACTTTGACGCGCTATAACTTTGTCATTTTTTGGTTGATTTCCCAAAAAAAAATACCGTGTCCATTATTTTTTGATCATCTAACTGACGGACTAAATAGAATTACGTTTACTGTACCCCGTCATCACCCCTATTACATTAGCTGATTTAATGGATAGCATGTTTTAACCGAAGTTTGATAGCCACGTATTTAAGACATTTTTATGTAAGTATGTACATAAAATATATACCTATATTAATATTAATATATATTTTTATTTTTATATTATATACTTAATATTTTAAAATACCTAGATAATTACGATATTAGAATTTGTGTCAATGTTATAAATGTTTTTTTCAAAAATACATCCTTTTGATGTGTAAGATATTTTTAAGTATATGCATAGAGTTGATAAATCGATATTCACCTGAATAATTTGCTCGCACTTCTCTCTCGATTCCATCCGCGCAAAACCAACACCCTTGCTATGTCCATGGGTGTCGCGGAGGATCCTCGTAGAAACCACTTGGCCGAATTTGGCCAACAGTTGGTCCACATCGTTCTCCTTGAAGTGCGGTGGCAGGTTTGCCATATACAGGTTGGTCGGATCCTGCTCTTGTTGCTGCAAAACCCATCATTGGCAGATGAGAAACCGTAATATTTAGCTCACTAATAAATCAACAGCTTCACATTACGTAAGAATATTGGCAGACTCGACTTAAACTGCCTACGGTTCAAGTAAAACAAAGCTATAAAATATTTCATAAATGTTTGTATATTTCGGGACCCAGACTTTAAATCTTAAAAATTCTGCCACAAGCACAAAGTATTATCTCTTAGGTATCATTATCAATTTTACCTTTAGAATTAATTAACTTTTTTAATGCTTTTAGAAAATAATCTTTTACTTCTTAAATTCTTCAGTAACATAATCGACTTTATTGTTTGCAAAGAGGGATAATAAACAAATTAGGTGTTTGCATTTTGGCTTTTTTTTATCTATCACTAGTTGTAAAGGCTGTTGCTTCTTAGTGATAATACAATCATTGTAAGCATATATTATGTGAATAGTGAATATTGGAGGTCTTTCCAGGATGTCAAAATTAGCTCAAAGCCCGCCAAGGTTATCTAGACACTGAAGCCAGCTCCGACGTATATCAGCAGATTTATCTAATATACTAAATAATATTAGGTAGGTGTTATCAACGAGATGGGCATATACAGCATAGAGATTATTAAGCTAATTATAGTCGCATACACACTAATTTAATATCGAAAGCATAGAAATACCCGAGCCCAATAGCGAGATACATTGTTATAACGCTGAAGCAACGACAATAGTACAGAATTAACGAAACAATGTTCGAAGTAGAGTTAAACAAGCGCTTATTTGCATTGACTGCGTACCACTGAAGGGGGTGAATACTTACAACACATTAGTGTCAACGTTATGTTAGATTAAGCTGACATACCAATTATCACTCTTGTCCAAATATAACAGAGAAATGAATGATCACGTGCCGTAACAGTGGCCATCGACACGTATCGAATCACTATCGGCCATTTACGTCGATGTTTCTAAACACATCCTATTTCATCTAGTAACACAACTATTGAATTAAACAAACATGAAATTATGGGGTTCTCAGACTCGCACTAGAAACTTTATCTCATACAGTATAGGGCGGGGTGTTGATGCTATGATTATGCATTTAATTCATAAACTAGATAAAGATATAGAGAACACTGCTTTTTACCTTTAATTACTTAAATAGGTTGCAGCATTTTATCGATAGATAATAGGGTAAAATACTAAAGCTATAAGTAAGGGTAGAAGGAACGTTGGATCGGATTAGTAGAGAGGAAACGGTTAAATTGGAGACGAGTCCGGGTCTTAAAAAAGGTTTTAAGAGAATATCGCTCGCTTCCATTGAAAGGCTTTTAATAAATTTAGAAATCGATATCTGATGCGAAATGGCTGTGCTATTCCCGTTTCTAATCAAGATAGATGATAATTAATTCTCGCACATAAAACTACTCAGATATATTTATTCATGATCTTATAAAGTTTCGAAGAGTAAGACGTTACAATAAGTAGGACTCGTGGGGTAAAGGGAAGAGGAAGATTATGCGACGTTAAAAATACTTAAATATTAGGATGTATTTAGAGAAATGTATTAGGATAGTGAAATGTCTGTTAGTGGAAGAGAAGTGGATCAGAGAGCGGTCCGGGAGCAGGCGGTTAGTCATAATAGTATTACTTGCATGCACAACGTACACGGTTCAGTCTACGCAGGAACCAGATACCCACTTTAGCCATCTGGGCCTGAACACCTTTGGCTTGTAATCCTTTAACAGCAGCCTCCGCTGACGCGATCGTCTCAAAATCTACAAAACCGTAACCTGTAGAAACAAAAGTGAACATATTTTATAATGATGGGTTACCTTTTAACACTTCTTAGCGTAGGTATTTGATGATTCATGCTAAATAAGATAACTAATACTTCATATTCAATAGAACTATGGATACATCCGAACATGGAACTAATGATGGAGAATATATTGCTTAAATTTAAGTAGCGTGATGGGGATGTGAGATTAAATATTTTTTATAACATCGTGATGGTATAGACACAAAATTTTACTGTGCATCTTCTTTATTTTAACAAATTTCATCTGTGCTTCGGTGCAAAAAGTGATGATAACAATTCTACTTGAAAATTATACGCAATATTTTAAATAAACATAATTATTATAATTGGATAATGAGAATGTCATAATAAATATGAATATACGTATCTAGTGTTCGTGCATATATTGGAAAAAATCTCACCATAGATGGGTTAGTTTAATGAAGGTTTATGGTATTCTAGAAAATATTAATACTGTATTAAATAATTCTGTTACGATTAATATTACAGATGCAAGTCTATTCGGATATGTAGATAATGTCAAAGGATATTTTATACATACGTGAAAAACTATGCACAGATACAATTAACTAGAAGTAAGTAGGTAGATATAATAGGTAATATTAGGTAACTATGATAGTGTAACAGGAATGTGGCAGTGAATGTTGTTTACCTTTACATTTATTCGTATTTTTATCCAATATTGCTTTTGTTGAAATAATGTTGCCATACCTGAAACATAAAAATACACATTTTATTTCAACTTTGTAGAAACAAGGATACAGATCACGCGAATAACATGGAATACAAATCAGATAGCAATATCTTACTTTTGTGGCTGATTAACGTTATAAAAGAAATGCCAACTTTTGTTTTCGTATTGCAAGAAATACTCGATAGCGGTAAACTAAATTACTTTGCAGTGAAATAAGTCTCATTTCTTACTACTACTTTTTTTATGAATTCGCATATTTATATAGTGACAGATATTATTTAGAGCTATTTTCATATATTGTTTCAAGCTTTATCCTTACGCTATGTTTCTATAGTATAGGATATTGTTCTTTGGATGTAAATACACACACCGCATTGTAGTAATGCATCGTAACAAACATTTGTTCTTATGACTTCAACAATTAACTAGAAAAACATTTACAACTGAAGCGGCATTAGGTAAAACAAAGAGAGAGAGAGATAAGAGAAGCGCATTAGAACTCACATCTGGCACATTTGGACGAGGTCCTTATCAGTGGTGTTTTGGTTAAGGCCTCGAATGTAGAGGTTGGTGCGGCTGAGTTGCTCCCCGACAGCGCCGGTGGTGGACGCTGACGACGCCGGTGGTGGCGGCGCGGTGCTCAGACTAGTGGAGCGGGTGCCCCCGGCGGAGCCCGTGTTCGAGGAAGAGGAGCTCGCGGTGTTAGCCGGCGATGCCGCTGTGGGCACTCGCGTACCGGTCGCCCCGCAACCGCCGCCCATAGTAGCACCAGTGTACTGCACAAACAAGGCCTACATTACGCTATACGGCTAGTGTCCATGAACCAACAAGTAAAGTTATGTTAATTTATAAATCTAAAGGAAATTTAATTTAGGCCTGCGATCGTGGAAGTTAAGCAAGTTTCGCAATGGTCAGTCATTGGATGGGAGACTAAAAATTTAATATCTCAAGCTCCTTGTTTCGGAAGACACGTTAAGCCGTTAATCCCGGCTGCATCTGCAGTCATTAGCATCCACCAATCCGCACTGAGACCGCATGGTGGATCATGGCCCAATATCCCTATGCTATCCATCGGGAAGGCTTGCGCCCCTGCAGAGGGGACACTAATAGGATAATGATGAAAGTAAATTTAACTAGAAAAAAATCGACGCAGTCCGGTTATTCTTGCTTATGTATTGATAAATTGGTAATTGATTTCCATAGATAAATTGTGTTCTAATTCATATAACACATTAATGGGTTAGTGGGAGCATTTTAGTGGGTTGATGTGGGCGGAGGCTGGGCCGGTTTTTCTTATCTGCTCGTTCCGGTTTTCTGGGTTTTCGTCGTGCAGACGCGATGTATATAATCTGTTTACAGATATCCGTCACTTTTATGCCACTTGAATACAATCATTTTAAATCATTAATGGTACTTGAGGTCTATTTTTATGCACGCATTATAAAATTGTTTGTATAAGACTTTTGTGACCTGAATTAAATGAATAAATTACGATTATTTATTTTTATAGTTTCCTACGTAAATATATTTACGGTGTATCTGATTGCGGTTGCGTTGCGGTTAGGATAGCATCGAAAACGGAACACGATGTTAAAATAAATATCACAACCACAAATATACATTACGATGAACATTTAGTGTTGAATTTAGCTTGGACGAAGAATCTCGGTATGCTTCGGATTTTATGGGCAAACTTTTCCTTATCGTGCCAATATTAACTATAAGAAATTGATTCTGATTTTGGTGGGCCACTTAAGATTTGCACCCCTATTTGATCTGTGGGGGCTCAGTACGAACAAATGCCCCTTACGTAGTGTACAGTGCAGCAGTAGGGTTAATACGCCCCTGAGTTTGGTACGAAGTAAATAGGTAGTGTACCAGATTCGGCAGCGGGGTGGTCTTTGTCGGAATATGTGAAAAAATGCTACTTTTTTGGGGGCATTTTTCTTTTTGTGCAAATCTCAAAAAATCATATAAGAATACTGCGACATTATTTTGCACACTGGAAATGAGGTCATCGACAGGTCTCAAGTTCATCGTTCATCGGGTAGTACAAATATTTTCAAATAAGTATTTTATTGTTTTGAATAGTATATTTCTTATATTCATTAATGTCCTTATATCTCAAACTGGTAAGTTAACGTTGTAATTTAACAGCTAAGCGGTCTTTCTATTAGTAATGTCTTAAGTCGTATTATGGTCGATGCTTAACATATCTTTTATTAAACTAAGCATCATTTGATTAATGATCATAAGAGACATTTTAAGTGTGTACCTAATTGCATTGACTCTCTATGTTCTCTCGTTGGTAAGATAAGAATATAAGATTAATCTTATAAGAGAAAGATAAGTAACTAAAACTAAAAGAATTTCATAGCACTAATTATAACATGGTAATTTATTTAATGAATACTGTTGCCATCAGCTGTTTATAATCAATTTAGTCCAGCTATTAGCTGAAAGGCTGAAACACGTAGGTGATTGTTTATATTGAGTTTTAAATTATCGTTGAACAACAGACGCACAATATCAAATTTCTATTTGATCGGTTACCCACAGCCCACAGACCACAAGTCCTAAACATTCATGTCTGACCCGAGAGTTTCGTTACGTAAATCGTAAATGCAAGTACCTACGAGTACTTCCTAGTCTATCTATAATTTAGTTTAATTGAATTGTTAGGTGACAAGTTAGGCAGGCAAGTGTTAATATCTTCCTTCGTACGTTCACAAAGTGTTACGAGGTGATACTGCTGTACTTCTGCGATATTAAAGACTGGAGTACACTATGTCTATACGTGTGTTACCTGTAGACCTTTTTTTTAATTGCAAACTGAATTCATTTTTAGGGCGAACTGAATACATTTTTAGGCCGCACTAATTAGTTTTCTCTATATATCAGTGTGAGTAAACACAAAGATGAAGAAACTCTGATAACGCAACGACGAATAGGAAGTAGATGTCAATCTTTCAGTGTTAGTATTTCGGGATCATTAGAAATGTTTTCTTCAAAAGAGGTGTTGATGACAAAATTAAGTCTACTTTACGGAGTTCGACAAAGTGTTTGTGGACAAAGACCGGTTTTAGGCACGTATGTTAAAAAAAATTTAAGCAAGAATAGTGCAAAAAAAATAACGGTAGTATACTACTGTCAAGTATTTTTGCAACATTAATTAAACATGATGTATCTCAAGACAAGACTTAGCAGCAGTCTTCACCATTTATTAATCTTTTCCTTTGGAAGCTGAGAAAGCGGGTTATTATTTTGATTATCCCGTGTATTCGCCAAGCCTGTCTGAACCAGGCTTAGATGGTCCGTGAAGCGTGTTAAGGCGCCGGCGTCCATTACTTATTTAGCCAGCGGGTAATGAATAGGGCGGAAAGGTGTAATGAACGCGTGGCGATGCGGAGCACGCACCCCTAATCGACTCGTACGCCACGCCAGGGTTGTCATTTGTCCCGGCATCACAACCGTCGGCCCCCACCTCTCTCTCTCCGCCGGCAAATCTAGCAAAAAAGCGAGAGAGGTGAAGATGACCAAATCGGCACTGTCGACACAGGCTTCGGTGAAGGTGGCTGCCAAAAAGGGTTCGGCAGAAGTTCCGGCATCTTCCACGTCAGGAAAAACGTCGACACCACCTGATGAGTGAACCACAGTTAAGAAAAGAGGACGCTGGAAGAAGAAACAAAAGGCGGCAAAACTGGCAACGCCTCCGAAGAGGAAGGTGCCTCGGGTCCCCAAAACACTGGCTGGAATACTTAAGATAATACATTATTATTTATGCGGAACGTCCTAGTGGTAAAGTTGGGTACTTATTATTCTTATGTGAATCATTTTCTTGCGCCTCTCTTAAAAATATAATAGAAGGTGAAGGGAATTGATGAGACCATTTGAATGTATCTTATAAGATCATACGTTTATGGTGCCTTTTTGGGAGCCTTCAGTTTCATTTTAATTATTTAAAAAAAGTTAACATTTTAGTATAATGTTTGCTAACTCAACCAGCCTTGTTTTAAAGTAAATGCACTGATTGATTTCTTTCAAGAACATACATCGTCAGTACACACCCTATCTACTAACTGAGAAGCCAACGGTATGGGTACTGCATGGTCACATTCGTAAGATCAAACAGTTAGATAGATTAAACAGCGGTTCCGGCCAACTGACAAACGAGTCTTTAGCACAAACATATACATATACGCATTAAGAGAGCGTTGCAGATTGCTGTCTACTACTGATTAGCACTTACCGTCTATTTATACTAATTAAGTAATCCTAAGAATGCGAAATAACTGTTGGTTTAATAAAATAAGTGCCGTCGATGACTAAAATGACGATGATATTCAGTTTACTTAGGTTTGACTCCCAGTCTGTTAATCATAAATTAAATAAGATCTTTTTCAAGGATTACCAATAAGGTATTTGGCTAATTCAATTAAATAACATTTACAGTAACCTAAGCACGAACCATTATCGAACTCGAACAGTTTACGAGTGCGAAATGTAAATGTTTATATGGAAACTTGAACAGCAGCTCCAGAAAGTACGTAACGGGAACTAAAAATCAGTACACATTTGACAGTTTCAGTTTCGGACTCGCAAACGTTATGAATTCGATATTGGGTCGTGCGAAAGGTACCGTACTTAAAATCTTAAATCTTTCGTTCAAGTTTCCATAAAAGTACAGCGCACTTAGGAATATCATAGATGTTTTAATATTAAATTTGCTAATCATTAGTTTTGGAAAAACAATATTTAAAATTCTTATGTTAGTTATAGTTAACACTTCCATCGAATTATCTTGAATTATTAGAACGTCTACCTACTTCAAATCGTGTTAGGGTGAATTTACTCAAGTCATTAGTGCGAACTGAGGTAGAGATACTACACGTGTAGTTATTTGTATTTAATTAACATATTGTACCCATAAACACTGCAGACGGCACAGCGACTCATCAAGCTATGTAACTGAGTGTATCAAGGGGAACAATTTTAACGCCTTCGAATTCGATATTCTGTAAAACAATTAACTTTAGCTTGTACGAAATTAAAGATGTTAAAGCTGTTCTTAATGGAAACGTAGCCAGAACCAATAATAATTGAAAATGGTTATTGAAACTGAACCCCAAAATGTTTAAATATACATTTATAAAGTGAAACTTGGGAAAAATGTGAAAGATAACTTCATGTAATACTACATATATTCCTGGTGGAATAAATTACATTCCCATAACACCTGAATGACATCGGCATTAATGAAGTTTCGCTACTTCTGTGAAATGCTGACAACTTTTGTTCTGTCCAATCTTTTTGTCAGCTAAAAGATGTCAGGTAGATTGTGGGAAAAGAAAATTGGACGATTCAGTAAAGCATTTAGTAAGTCAGTTTGAATAAGTTGGTATATTTTCATTTCTTTGCTCCGATCTAAGATACTGCCCGGGAATCATAGTCGACGGTTGCCAATCTACTGGCAGTATTCTGTTTAAGAAACAACCCGGTCCATTAGTGGGCTTTTACTTAGATCTAACTGAGAATATTTCCAAAGCTCTGCCATATTTTAACTAAAGTCCTGTATTTATTGTGCTTGTTATAGTCGCTTATTTGTATGCCTAACCAATATACAATTGGACACTCCCTAATCAGGCAGAAGCAGATCGCATCGCATTAGCAAAGTAAAATTCTATTCGTTATGCAATTGATGGCATGACCAGCATTCGTAGGCAATTGGACCAATTTAAGTTACCGCTCCAAGACCACCGACGTCGTTACTGCGAGTTAA